AAAGAGTGTTGCAGAGTGACAGCAGAGTGCCAGAGAGTGCCGGAGAGTGCCGGAGAGTGCAGGAGAGTGCCGGAGAGTTACCGGAGAGTACCGGAGAGTGCCAGAGAATGCCGCAGATTGCCGCAGCGTTACAGCAGAGTGCCAGAGAGTGCCGGAGTGTGCCGGAGAGTTGCCGGAGAATTGCCGCAGAGTGCCGGAAAGTACCGGAGAGTGCCGGAGAGCTGCCGGAGAGGGCCGCAGGGTTACAGTATAGTGTCGGAGAGTGCCGGAGAGTTACCGGAGAGTGCCAGAGTGTAGCGGAGAGTTGCCGCCGAGTGCAGGAGCGTGCCGCAGAGTTACAGCAGAGTGCCGCAGAGTCTCGGAGAGTGACAGAGAGTTACCGGGAAGTGCCGGGGAGTGCCGCAGAGTGCCGTAGAGTGCCGGAGAGATGCCAGCGAGTGCCGGAGTGTTGCGAGAGAGGGCCGGAGAGTTGCCGCAGTGAGTCGGTGAGAGTCCGAGAGTGCCGGAGAGTGCCGGAGAGTGCCGGAGAGTGCCGGAGAGTGCCGGAGAGTGCCGAAGACTGCCGGAGAGTGCCGGAGAGTGCCCGAGAGTGCCGCAGAGTTACAGCAGAGTGCCGGAGAGTGCAGGAGAAGGCCGGAGAGTGCCGGAGAGTGCCGGGGAGTGCCGGAGAGTGCCGAAGAGTCACGGAGAGTTGCCGCAGAATGCCGGAAAGTACCGGAGAGTGTCGGAGAGCTGCTGGAGAGTTACTGGAGGGTGCCGGAGAGAGTCGGAGAGTTGCAGGAGAGTGCCGCAGAGTTACAGCAGAATGCCGGAGAGTGCAGGAGAAGGCCGGAGATTGCCGGGGAGTGCCGCAGAGTTACAGCAGAGTGCCAGAGAGCGTCAAAGAGGGCCGCAGAGTGCCGCAGAGTGCTGAAGAGTGCCGGAGAGAGCCGGAGAATTACCGGAGAGCGCCGGAGAGTGTCGGAGTGTTGCCGCAGAGTGCCGCAAAGTGCCGGAGAGTGCCGGGGAATTACCGGAGTGTGCCGCAGACTGCTGGAGAGTTGCCGCAGAGTGCCGGAAAGTCCCGGAGAGTGCTGGAGAGTGCCGGAGATTTTCCGGAGAGATGTCGGAGAGTGCCGGAGAATGCCTCAGAGTTACAGAGAGTGCCGCAGAGTCGCCGTAGTGTGCCGCAGAGTTACAGCAGAGCGCCACAGGGTGCCAGACTGTGCCAGAGAGTTGCCGGATAGTGCCGGAGAGATGCCGGGGAGTTGCCGCAGAGTGCTGGAGAGTGCCGGAGAGTGTCGGAGAGTTGCCGGTGAGTGCCGGTGAGTGCCGGAGAGTTGCCGCAGAGTGCCGGAGATAGCCGAAGAGTGTCGTAGAGATGCCGGTGTGTGCCGGAGAGTGCCGGAGAGTGCCGCAGAGTGCAGGAGAGTTGCCGCAGAGTGCTGGAGAGTGCCGGAGAGTTGTCGGAGAGTTGGCGCAGAGTGCCGGATAGTGCCGCAGAGTTTCCGGAGAGTGCCGCAGATGGCCGCAGAGTGCCCTACAGTGCTCTAGAGTGCCCTAGAGTGCCCTACAGTGCCCTAGAGTGCTCTACAGTGCCGTAGAGTACCGTAAGGTGCCGCAGAATGCCATAGAGTGCCGTATAGTGCATTACATTGCATTAGAGTGCATTATAGTACTGCAGCACTCTAATTATAGTGCATTAGAATGCCTTAATTAGCACTCTAATCAGAGTACTTTGTTAAAGGGCTTTTATTAGAACTCTAATTAGAGTGCTGTTATGCACTCTAATTATGGCACCCTAATTAGAGTGCTAATAACGGTCCTCTAACAAAGGCACCTTGAATAGAGTCCTAATTAAAGCACTCTAATGCCCTATAATTATGGTACTATAATTAGAGTGCTGTTGTACTCTAATGCACTCTACTGCAATATAATGCACTCTACGGCACTCTACGGCATTCTACGGCACCCTTCGGTACTCTACGGTACTTCAGGGCACTGTAGGGCACTGTAGGGCACTTCAGGGCACTCTATGGCACTTTACGGTACTCTGCGGCAACTCTCCGACACTCTCCGACACTCTCCGGCACTCTTCGGCACTCTCCGGCACTCTGCGGCCCTTTGCGGCACTCTCCGGCATTCTCCGGCCCTCTGCGGCAACTCTCCGGCACTCTGCGGCACTCTCCGACACTCTTCGGCACTCTGCGGCAACTCTCCGGCACTCTGCGGCACTCTCCGGCACTCTCCGGCACCCTGCGGCAACACTGCGGACACTCTGCGGCAACTCTGCCGGTCTCTCCAGCAACTCTCCGGCACATTCCGGCACTCTGCGGCATCTCTCCGGCTATCTGCGTCTCTCTGCGACAACTCTCCTGCACCTTTTGGCACTCTCCGGCACTCTACGGTCCTCTGTGGCCCCCTGCGGCACTCTCAGGCACTCACCGACACTCTGCGGCAACTCTCCGGCGCTCTCCGGTACTCCGCGGCACACTCCGGCACTCACCGACACTATGCGGCAACTCTCCGGTACTCTCCGGCAACGCTCCGGCGTTCTCCGGCACTCTCCGGCACTCTCCGGCACTCTTCTGCGTCAATTTTGCGGCAACTCTGCGACAACGATCCGGCACGCTCCGGCAACTCTCCGGTACTTCTCCGGCACTCTCCGGCACTCTGCGTCAATTTTGCGGCAACTCTGCGACAACGATCCGGCACGCTCCGGCAACGCTCCGGCGCTCTCCAGCACGTTTCGGCACTCTACGGCACTCTCCGGCAACTCTCCGGCACTCTTCGGCAATTCTGCGGCCCTCTGCGGCCCTCTCCGGCACTCTGCGGCAACTCTCCGGCACTATCCGGGTCTCTCCGGCAGTCTCCGGCACTCACCGACACTCTGCGGCAACTCTCCGCCACTCTACGGCACTCTCCGGCAACTCCCCAGCAACTCTCCGGTACTCTCCGGCAACTCTCCGGCACTGTATGGCAACTAACTCTCCGCCACTCTCCGACATTCTCCAGCAACTCTCCGGCACTGTCCGGCAACTCTCTGGGACTCTGCGGCAACTCTCCGGCTCTCTACTGCACTTAACACACGCAACGGCACTGTACGGCCTTCGATAACGCTCGACAACGCTCGAAAATGCTCTGAAAATGACCGAGAAACGCTCGAAAAACGATAGATAACGCTCGGAAAACGCTCCATAACGCTCCAAAAGACTCTAAAAACGCTCGGAGACGTAAAAAACGGTCGAAAAACGCTCGATAACCCTTGACAACGCTCGAAACCTCTCTGAAAATTAACGAGAAACGCTCCAAAACTTTCGAAAACGGTCGAAGATCGCTCGATAACGCTCGAAAACGCTTGAAATCGCTCGAAAAAGGCTCGATAATGCTCGAAAACACTCAAAGACGCTCGATAACGCTCGATAACGATAGTAGGGAAATGTAAGAATCATACGCTAAATGACTCGGCGTATATCCGGGGTTAGGTAAGCCTCGGGAGGATTTTTCGCAGCATTCGACTCTCACGCATACTCTTCGAGCGAAGCGCCGAACGCACACATACTCAACGTCTCGACCCGTAGCTTGGCGCTTGTCTGGTTGGGACGCGCGAAGATTTCGAAGAGCGATCGCACTCACGCAGATTCGCTGCATGAGAGTTCCGTACGCGACACCGACGCGTGCCACAAAGTTCCGCATCACGTCGACTTCGAGGCAACAATGTACTTATTTGTAGTAGATAAGTAGATAAAGTTAAATGGAGCGTCACGGGTTTTCTTCCCTTACCATCAAAAGCGAGCAATGTCGGTAAGCATAAGTAAGCCACCACCGTCAACTGCCGCATGGTATTACCATCACGAGTACGTGAACCGCCAACGGCGACTGGTAGATGGTACCACCATCGCGAGTGCGCGGGCTCCTATCAGAAATTCGTTGCGCCGCCCTTGGGGGCAAAAAACGGTGAAAGCTAATGTACGAAACTAGAGGGCAGCACAGGTTGCTATCGACGATCCTGCCCGTGAGCAATCTCCCAACTCATCTCTGTCTGAGATAAGTTGGGTGATCGCTCACGGGCAGAGTCGTGTGGGGTCGTGCGTCCGCCTCCTGTGCTGCCCTCTGGTTTCGTACATTAGCTTTCACCGTTTTTTGTCCCCAACGCCGGCGCAACGAATTTCTGGAAACGGCTCGCACACTTGAGGCGGGCCCGGGACGAAGTCCGGCCATCAACCACCAAGGGCGTGGCGCGCGACGAGCGCGATGCGTTCAGGACGGGGCATACTGTGTTACCCCGTGCTCATTACTGTACTTACTTGGAACGAATAGACGACTACGTCGAAAAATGTTTTAAAACGGTTGAAAATCGGAAAGGTAGACTTTGTGACCAATTCTAGAGCGCACGTGGAAACCCGCTCCTTTTTCTGTAATAATAAAACAATAACTATAGATAAAGTGGTGAAATATATTCGACAATCCCCCCCCCACACTCTATCTATAGTGGTGCCATCTACCAGTTGCCGTTGGCGGCCCACGTACATGTGATAGTAGTACCATGCGGCAATTGACGGTGGTGGTTTACTTACGTTTATCAACACTGCTCGTTGTTGATGGTAAGGGAAGAACACTCGTGGCGTCCTCTTTGACTTTACCCTTCACTTACCTTATTTATTTTATCCGCAAATGATACAGGCGAAACTACAACGTGGGTGCTCGAGAGTTGAGTTATACTTTATATACAATTTTTATAAGCTACGGATATTAATTAAAGAATAATGAATGTTTCCTATGGAGCACATAAAACCTAGATGGAAGCTGATACCCAAGAACATAGCTTGACGTAGCGGTATGACGTCAGGTGTAACGTATGTATGTACGTGTCGCAACTTCAAATTCTTAAGGAAGGGAAGCGTGGGTATGGTTTTTTACGCAAATTTTTTTCGTCATGTTTTACAGTTCATAGCAATCGCACAAAATACATTGCAGTTACGTAATTTTTGATTATGGATTCAGCTTTTCATTATTTGTTTTAATGTCCCTAAGGTGATTTTAATAATGAATGTGAAATTAATTAAAATCGTACCGTATGGTAACAGTATCAATCTTTCTTATGGTTAGTATCATTATTTAGTTACCCATGTTGCTGCCGTTATCTCATTCATTGCAAATATGTTAATTATAATCATCATTTTGAGAATAAGCTCGGAAGTTAAAAATCTCTGGTTCGAGTATTTGTCCCGTACATTAGTAACTTTACTGCAAAACATTTGTCCTGAAATATTCCGCCTCACGGTAAAACAATGGTAATTAACGAAATTTCAATAACATCGTTAAATACCGAGCACGTGAGTCATGAACGACGTGGATCGCACCAGTCGGCAAAAGATAAAAAAAGATGAAAAAACTTTCAAGTATGTACATTGTTGCCCCCGAAGTCGACGCGATGCGGAGCTTTGGGGCACGCGTCGATGTCACGTACGAAACTCCCATGCAACGTATCTGTGTGGCACCGCCATCGCGAGTGCGCGAGCCGCTTCCAGAAATTCGTTGCGCCGTCCTTGGGGGCAAAAAACGGTGAAAACTAACGCAAACTAACGTATGAAAGCAGAGGGCAGGACAGAATGCGATCGCGCGACCCTGCCTGTGAGTAAAGAATACAGATCTCTCCACTGAGTCTCTCTCTCCTAGAGACTTATGAATTCTTTGCTGTGAGCAATGTCTCAACTGATCTCTGGTTTTATAATGTTTTGTGATTTTTAAATATTTCTGAGTTGAATTAATGCGGAAGAAATCGAAAGCATGACATAAAAATGGAAGCCTGCGAGAAGAATTTCTTTGGCGTTTATCTTTTAAATTGTTTGAACCCCAATTATAAAGGCAGGACGTATATAGGTTATACAGTGAATCCCCAACGTAGAATTAAACAGCACAATGCAGGAAAGCATTTTGGTGGTGCCTGCAAAACTAATAATAAAGGACCTTGGTAAGAAAACATGAAAATTCATTCACCAATAAAGTAATAGTTAAATATAAGATTGTTTTTGGTATAAGCTCACCGAGTTTAAGGAACCGATTGTACGCACTTTGAGAACTAATAGTTCTCATATTTAATTGCATGTAAAATCTTAACGCTTAAAATATTAAATTGTACAACCAAAAATTTGGTGTACCTGACTTATTCCATTTGAAATATTTTACATAAGCATGAGACGACTTATGCAGTTATATTGTAAACCCAAAATATATGTGTTATCCAATAAAAGTATTATCTGACAAGCTAAGGTGCCTTGTTTTTACGTTTTTGTTAAATTATGTTGTTTTTAGGACTATGGTATTAATCGTTTATGGATTTCCAAGTTCAACGTCGGCATTGCGAGTACGTATCCAGTTTTAAAAATTATTTGCATTTGGGAAATTATTGTATAAAGATGTTGCTTAACGTACTTTTAGTTTGAGTGGGCTTGGCAGCATCCAGCGATCAGCCGTCGACTAAAACACGTTCCTCGGCGCAAGAGTCGGCAAAAGGTCTTTGATTTTTGCCTTCTTGTTTTATCGGAGATGTTGAAAGTAGGACCCTGGGTTCGTTTGCCTTTAACTTTGCATTGGTTAGATTCTGAATTCGCTGATAAATATTCGTATAGCATTTCGCCACCAATGCACATGCCAATCACCTATGGAAGTGTTACATCTAAAAAGAATACAACAAAGAGTAAAAAAAAAAGGAGCGAAAAAGATACTTTTTACGAGGCCAAAGACTCCTTAGCATTATGTTCTTTATGTGGCTTGATAGTCAATGCCGAGGACAAAGTGACGTGTATCAAGTCTGACTGCCTTCTGGTTGCCCATTTAATTTGTCTGGCTGAGGAATTCTCTAAGGATGAAATGATTCTACCAATCGATGGAATTTGTCCCGCTTGTAAAACAAATGTCTTGTGGGGTGATCTCATTCGCAAAAAAATAGGACATAACTTGCATTTAACGGACAATGATAAAGACGATTAAACACTGTTAGGTAATTGAACTATCGTAAGTAGATAAATAAATGCCCTTTAATTAGTTACATTTGATGCTCAGTGTAATACTGTTATCATAATATTATACATTCTTGTATTGTAAATATATAAACGTAAAATTAATCAACGGAACAATAAAAATAACGTCTGTATTTGTTTCAGTTTGAGATAACAATTGTTTCATGTAGTTAATTAATACGTAATGCTGCGCTTGTTCCCGTTATTCAAGTGCGTATCGGTACCAAACGCTTCGCGCATATTTTATAATAATTGGTAGCCACTACCTAGTTACCTCTCACGGCCTACAATCGATACGCCACAATAAATTCCACGCCCTACAATCGATAACCGTGTTACCGACGTTACACCATTACATAAAGGGAAATCGGACATCGGTATCGTTGCACCAAGGTCAAGGTATTCAAACAAATCAATTTCTTTGATTAAAAATCACTTGGTGCAATCTTCTAATCCACGTTCATAAACAAATTAAAAACAACTCCTGAAAGAATATCTCAAGTACATAAAGAAGATGTACATATAAGTTTGCGAAGAGGCACAAAAGGTACGAAGACTAGAAATGTGTAGAGGTGTTAAACATTGGAGCTGTCGAAACAAAATTCTACGGAGTGCCATTACTACCTTCCATGAGATGAAATATTCAAGAAAGTTGGAGATTACGCATTTTACACTAATTGCATAATTAATTAAGTAATCCTAATCTATACTGCTAAAATAATTTACTATGAGCCTAAATTTAGTGTACTTTTTGCAGCGACATTTTGCTGCAAGACCCATTCGGATTTTTCTTTTTATTGAGACTTTCGCCGTTTTCACGAGCAATTCTTGATTTTGATAATTTCCTCTAATCGTTTGTAGTCATTATTTTCAGAAGAAAGCCGAGGTGTAATCGTCATCACCGTAATCCCCGTACTCGTTGACTCCTGGAGGAACGAAAATCCCTCCAAGAACTCCGGAAAGGTTTTCTCCGAGTCCCATTGATGAAGCTACCCCGAAGACGAGCCTCATCACTACCAGTCTTACGAAATTCACTATATTCGTCTCTTTACTCTGCAAAACTAGTTGCTTCGTGTACTTCTTCTTGCACTCGACAAAGCCGACCTGCAAATCGGGAAGACATTAATTATTAGGCAGGTCAGATACTTATTAAGTACTTCTAAAAGACTTTTGTGTGTTGAAAAAGTGAAAAGAAAAGTGTTTCAGAATTTTTTGACCCACCTAATAAAATTAAGCGAAACGTTTTTTTGCGTCATTATCATTTTTATAGCGCTTGTTTATTTCCGATCAGTAAACGTACTTATTAACAATTTCACGAATGAAAATAAATGCCAAGTACAGAATTATACAACATATTTTAAAGAATATTTCTAAAGATTGCCAATCGATTTGAAATTATTTGGATAATTTATGTACAATTATAATCTAAATGATAGAATGTCATTTCTACGGCGCTTTTTTATTTCCAATCAATAAACGCATTTATTAGAAAACAACGAAAGAAAAGAAATGCCGAGCGTGGAATTCTTCAAAAGATTTTTAACACTAGAACAACTGGCAGATTTTTTTTTATAGGATGAGCTATTTGAAACAAGTCATTTTGACCCGTTCTAGTGTTAAGAAATCATTTCGTAAATTGCGTTCAGTAATTTCACGCTCAAGCTTGGCTTTCATGAAATATTGTCAACTTACGCTTAAAATGAGAAGTCCAAGCATTGCCATCCTCAGCTTCATTTCTTGGGCGGTTTGTCTCTTCTTCTTTTTTAACTTGGGTTTAACGTAAGATTTATATGAATTAACGAGCTTGTGAATTTTTTAGGGTTCTGAAGGCGTATTTAACGGCTCGCCGTAAAATCGTAAACACCGTCAGAATGCGGACTATGAGGAATCCGCTGTTACACGACCTTTAACGAAGAGGTAATACGCAACAAGGCCCTCTTCGTGGTCGAATGGACGATCGGCTCTTGCGACTCAAGAAAAGTGACTGGCCGTGATTGCGAAGCTGAGTTATTCGTACCGTCGTAACGGTACATCTCGAAAAAAGACAACCAGGCCATCTCGCTCTCTTCTTCATAGATACGATAGTGCGATGGTAGATACGGCAGGTACATGCTACCGGTAAATTCAATGGAGAGGCTCCTACGTGCCGGGGGAAATTCATACTCTCCGAAGATTGCACAGAGTTTGTACACAGTGTGCATATCGTGGACCCTCTCCACGGATGGAACGCTCTACTTTTGTCGTGGATTTTCTTAATTTTCTTTCTTTTTCCGGATCCCACTTAGCTTAGATTTATTCGTTCTCGTTTTCAGGCAATTTAATTCAGCGATTGAGTGACGGTTTAAGTAGCTTGACGAACTTGTGCATTATGTGATAAATAGTAAATATTTTAGTGGGATACTTGCTGTGATGCGAACTCTGCCATTTTTATATAGTTAGAAATCGACAGAAATCAGTTATAATATTCCAGATATACAAATATTTCCTTTCTGGTTTTTATTCATAATTTGTGCCGACTGGAGGATTAAAACACGGAATCCGTAAAATGAAAAATATATACAATTTTAGAAACATACTTGGCGAGTCGCGTATAAACTTTATTTTCAATTTTATTGAGCAAAGTTATGCATAGCAATGTTCCTAATGAAATTGAAAATAATAAGGTTATTTGTTGAAATGTGTGCAGTGCGTCAAATGCGTTTTTAAACTTATTTATATATCTTTTTTATTTTATGGCATTTCAGTGAGCACGTTTATTGTAGTTTTATATTGTTTATTGTAAATGGCTTGGGTAATAAAATTACGCACAAAAGAGAAACCCTCACTTTGTTGTTAAATAAGATCGACATAGTGCAATTATGGGATTCGATTCTTACCTTTCCCAGCTAACAATTAATTTTATCTCTATATTTATGATTACGGTATATGTTCATACTTAGTTGTAATAATATGTTAGTGATCAAAATAAGTCGCCCTTCTCTGTTTTTATAGTGTATTTTTTATAACAGTACCGGCATTTGTCATTAACGTCTGAGTTAAAGTACACGTCGTTAACTTTTTCTAATTTTCAAAATTTCATGTTAGAAAAAGTAACGATGGAAACGCGTTAATGCTACGTGCTGCATTTTTCATAATAATATATTAATTATGAAAGTAACCCATGAAAATGTTAGGTAACGATTGATTTTTAATTTTTCTCGGCAACTTTCTTGTAACAAAACCGATTTATGTGATTGCCGACTCGATTTAAGTGTCATCAAGTTTCTCCAGTTTTGAAAAATCCTTATTTGAAGGAGATGGAAACGTTATACTACATTCTGCCCATTTTCTCGTAATACCGAGTACTTGGGAATATCATTTGCCGATTTTTCCGTAATTCGCTGTAACACTTTAAGGATGATTGAAGCCGCGATGTAACTCTATTATTCGTAAGTATCTTACTTAGCAGCGTGATATAGCACAGTGCAACGATGTCAGTAGGAACGTGAATGAACTTTTAACATCCTTATATCCCCCTTGGCAAGTTAATGAGAATGAACTCGGCACGTGGGAAAATACATAGTGCCATTATAATGGCTTAATCCTTATGAAATAAGTTCCCGAGAATTAATCCGCCATAATTTACACTCTCGCGCTGAATTTTCGACATACTTAATTTACCTCTTCCTGGATGATTTTTACGACTTTCAATAATCCACGTCTATGTAATATTAAAATTACCTCTCCATAAAATTTGAATTGTTATTAAATATATATAATACAAAAAGGTTATTCAATATTTTCTCATAAAATTTTCATGGACCAAATGAAAAATTTGTGGTACTCGGAATTAAATGGAAAAGGAAAAGAGATTACAATTAAAAATGGAACTTGGCCAATAAAATGACTTAATCCTTATGAAAAAAATTCCCAAGAATGAATCCGCCATAATTTACATTTTCGCGTTTAATTTTCGGCATACTTAATTTACATCCTTTCCTAGATCATTATTTTTACGACCTTTAATCATTTATGTCTCTGTAATATAAAAATTTACTTCCTACAAAATTTGTATTACGTTATCGAATATATATATTTTAAAGGTTATCCAATATTTCCTCGTGAAATTATTACAGATCAATAAAAAAATTAATAATACTCGGAATTAAATTGAAAAGGAAAAAGGATTCAATGCAAAAGCCTACACAATACCCTCCACAGTGTATTTGGTGACCTAGATTACAATGAAAATATCAGATATATGTATATATATATGTATATGTATATATATTTAACATCGATGTACGAGATATTTTTTCCAATACGTTACTTAAATCTCTACATGGTATACACATTCCATATAAGTTTGTTTATATTTACGTTCAACTCGCTTGCTAACAAACGTTTACACATGACTTTAGACTTTTCGTTTTATACACGTAGAGTACGACGTTGACGCTACAATATAGGTACACATATTTATATATTTATAGGTAAATTCATTTTTTCCCGCTTTCCTCGTGGTGTCGGGCATGTACGAATGTGTCTGCAAATCGAGTCGCTAATTTAAATCGCCTGTTTTTTCACTGTAAAATGGCCGATTGCAAATCTTGTTGCATCTTTTTTAATCCTAGAAACCGAGTTCGAGTGTTTCCTTTATGATAACAAGCAGTGAAGGTTGATTTTTCGATGATTTCCATAATTATTTTTCCATTCCTCCGGAGCTGACTCATTAAAAGATGGCGACGAGACGACAGGAACTTGCAAACCGTTTCCGTCTTTTAACATTCGACCAGCATGATCTACGGATTACAACTCGTGCGATTTATTTATTCTCCATTAAAACATCACAATCTGGTTTTCCGTTTCTAGAATTTGAAGAGGCTATGCAAGATCTCAGATAATCCGACCTAATTGCGTTCGCCGCAACTCGCGACGCTCCAGGATTTATCATTTTCCTTTTTAATTCTACGCTTAAACTAGACAACCATGATTAAAGCAGCTTTATCTCTGAGCATCGGGGAATTAAGTTGACGGTGTTTGTCGTTCGAAATGTCATCTTCAGCAATTTCAAAGTGGCACTCGTCATGACCGATCCTCGACGTCGCGTCTTCCGGCGTCGTTTTCCCCTCCGTTTTTGAGCACCCAGCCAAAAGACAGCAAAAGACGATGAAGTCGACCCTGACCCTCCTTTCAGATGACTCTTTAATACGCATGATTGGCAACGAACAGAGCTGCATCTCCTGCTGCACCTGCGACTCCACCGGCATACTTGCCAAGGGCTGCTTCGCTGTTCGCCTGGAAATGCAAAAAACATTTATTATACATATTTTTTTAAAGGGGATGTGAAAGTGACATCTGAGAGGTCGATCGTTCATGAGATTTCAATTTTTGTTTTAATTATTTATAGATATTTGATAATTTGTTAATAAAAAGTGAAATTCTGTGGGTGTCGGGATCTTCCTTATAGCCTCCATATTCATATTGTAAAGTGTGAAACGATTCGGTGCACCCAGTTCGGAGAAAAGTTTCATGAACGAAACTTTTTTGACGCCACTTGTATGTCACCTTTAAGGGGATGCGAAAGTGGCATCTGAGGGGTCGATCTTTTATGAAACTTTTCTTTGAATTGGGTGTACCGAATCGTTTCACACTTTACAATGTGAATATGGAGTCTATAAAAAAGGTCCTGATACTCATGAAATTTCATTCCTTACAACAAAATTTTTAAAACTCGTATAAACAAATTAAAGAAAAAATTGAAATTTCATGTATTTCAGGACCTTCCTTACAGTCTTTATATTCACATTGTAAAGTTTTAATCGACTCGGTACACCCAGTTCGGAGAAAAGTTTCACGAAAAATTGACCTCTCAGATGTCACTTTCATATCGTCTTAAATTCACTTATTTTTTAATTTTTCTGCTGTCAATAGATAAGCAATGAGTATATACACGACATGAATGCGGAGTAAGGCTCCTATATACTTTTGACGAAGGCACATTCTACAACAGAAAGAGTTTCAGTACCTCACTGAAATTGTTCTTGAGTAACCGTTACAACGCGTGACTTAGAAAAGGAAAAGCATAGAGAATTACATGCGAGGTGACGTGCAAAAAGAGATATAAAAGAAACATACTTACGGGAAATGGACCGTGCCACACGGAAAAGTAGTAAGGGGGTTTTAATAGGCGTGAGATTTGACGAAGAGAGAAGTGTCCGCAGCTTTGCTAGCGATGCTGCCAGCAACGTATTTGCCTTGACAGGCTAAACTATTCGCCTAAAGGAAGCACACAGTAGAACAACACTAAAGGGGTAAACTACAACATAATAACTACAACAAACGAGGAAACAAACTTATACATAAATATAAGGTGTACAGGAAATTCCATGCTGAAGGTTGACGGTTAAATAAGTAATGATAAGAGAGGAAAAGCCATTCAGAAAATAAATAAATTAACTTAATTTCAAACAGTTGTGGATTAAAACTGTTAAAAAATTATTCAGAGGTTTCAATGGAAGCCTTGAAGGGTACGGATGTACGCTGAATAATTAAATATGTCCGCCAATGACTAATTATTTCTCCGTCCTTTTTAAAGGGATATGAAAGTGGCTTCTGAGAAGTCAATAGTTCATGAAACATATCTTCAAACTGGGTGCACCGAATCATTTAAAAATTTACAACATGAATATGGAAGCTGTAATGAAGGTCCTGCTACTCATAAAATTTCAATATTTTTAAATTTATTATTTTGAAAATTTTGTATAAAAAGTGAAATTTCATGTTTTTTCGGGGCCTATTTTACAGCCTCCATGTTGACGTTGTATAATTTGAAACGATTCGGTACACCCAATTCGGAGAAAAGTTTCAAAAACGGGACCTCTTTGACGCCACTTTCGAACCCTCTTAATTATTAAGCAATGATTGATGGGTTCATCAACAATACTTGCTTTCCAATGCACGTTTCTGTTTCTCTAAAATGATGGGTTGCGATTTTACACGTGGGATCTTTTTTAAACTCCATTCTTGGTTTGTTAGTTGGTTTCACACAAGCATCAAGCGCCAAGATAGGATCTAGGCGTTTACAGAAACCTCTGAATTCTAGTACTGCGATCATGCGCAGAGTAGTTTGGAATTAATCACGTAAGATCCGTTTGAAGGGAGGTTAAAAAGAGCGCAAGGAACCCTGAAGAAGATCTGGGGAAGGCCAAAAAGTCTACCTTGGCCCTCTTGAGGAGCTCTTCCTGACCGGCGCCGATCTGATCGGCTTTTCCGCCCCACGCGCGGAGAACGGAAGCCTGAAGAGCGCGACCGTAGCTGAAGGTCAAAGCCCATGGTTTCTTTCCAGGGAACTTGTTGATGGCGTCCAGATTGACGGAGGCCTCTTCCTCGGATTGTCCACCGCTAAGGAAGGTGACTCCCGTGACAGCCGGGGGCACCGTGCGAGAAAGGGCGGTCACTGTGGCGGCAGCGATTTCCTGAGGAGCTGCTTTCTTGGGACAACTCTGGCCGGGAGTTACCATGTTCGGCTTCAGCAGGGTTCCTTCCAGGTACACGTGGTGGTCAGCAAGTGCCTGAAGAATGTTATAACCAATGTTAAATTGTATCATGTTATTTTTGTGGACGTGAATATTTTGCCGCGATACTCTGACGATGTCGTATTTATAAGGAAGGCATTTATGTCCGCCACGGTACATATAACTTGACCGGTACCAGGTTGTACGTGCAACTCAACCGGCACCAAGCTGTACGCCCAACTCAATCGGTGCCAAATTGCACATGCGACTCAACCGAAACCAAATTGTACATACCACTTAACCTATACCATCTTGTACATACAACTCAACCAATATCGTGCTGTTCATACAACTCAACCGATACCATGTTGTACATACAACTCAACCAGTATCAAGCTGTACACTGACGGATATAAATGCCGCCTTGCCTTGACACTGATGACACTAAATTCGCAAGGAAGGCGTTCATGCCTTCACGTACATTCTCAACCGGTACAATGTACATACAGCTCAATCTGGCGGACATAAATACATTGCCACGATGTACTAACGCCATTACACCACTTAATCCCACCTTGTAGACGGCCGCGAGGACCTCCTCGGTGACTTGTTGGCAGCGGGCAAGGTCGTGATCACCATCCGGAAGGATTTCAGGCTCGACGATGGGCACTATCCTGGCGCTCTGGCAGATCGAGGCGTATCTGGCGAGGACGTTTGCGTTCTCCAGAATGGCGAGCTTACTGGGGCAATCCTTCTTGATCTTCAGGACGCACCGCCACTTGGCAAAGTGGCAGCCGTCCTTCTTATACTGCACGCAGCGGGCCTGGAGGTCGTCCAGACCTTGCGTCGTGCATTCGTCGTCGGTGCCGAAGAGCGGCACCACGCCTTTGTCGACCTTGATGCCGGGGATGATGTTGCGCTGCTTCAGGAGCTCCACGAACGGGGTTCCGTCTTCGGCCTTCTGGTACAGGGTCTCGTGGAACAGGATCACGCCAGAAATGTATTGCCCAATGGTGTCCTGAAATGTTACCACAAGAAGATATTATCATCCACCGTAATACCAACATCAATAACAAATAAACATGAAGAAGCGAGTCTCACCCTACCATCCAAAAAAACATCTCAAACGATTCGCTGCGTCCAGTTCAAAGAAAAATGTCATAAACAAGACACCTTTTAACGCCACTTTTACATCACCTTAATCACGTTACTCATTCAGCTGAAATATTGTCAGATGAATAAAATTTAACGTTCCTTTCCCAAGGTTCGCATTCCGACTCTTTTTTCGTGCATTCGAGAGCGAGAATCAAACATATATATATATGTACCCGTGATTATAAAAGTGTAATTCTTTTTGTTGTTAGAATATGAATTTCCCAATATTGCAGTTTAAATGAAAAACACAAAATATCGTATATAAGGATAAGTTTCTTTTTTCCATTTTTTTCTTACACTGAATTTCCTTGAATCAAAGAGATATTTCTTTGAATTGTACCAAAGAAATATTTAGTTTATTCAAATAATAATTAATGTACTCAAATAAATTTTCATAGTTCTGAATAAACGTTACCTCCAATTTATTCGAGTTTATGTTAGTGATGAAATACTTGTACTTTGAATTAACGAAATATTTCTTTAGCACTATTTAAAGAAATATTTCTTTGGTTCAATGATATTTTTCCTTAGTGTAGACCGCTCATAATTACTGGCACACTTTTTGTTAGTAAACATTGACAAGGATACTCACTTTAGGAGCTGTGAAGAGAAGCTGACGATACGCCCTGCGATTGTCTTCGGCGTTTTCCACGCTGATGTCCTTCAGTCGCTTTCCCATGGTCGCGGTAGACTCATCGGCAGCAAGGATTCCTTTCCCAGGAGCGACTATCGCCTCGGCGATGCTCTTCAGCTCCGCCTTCAGCTCCGGGTCGGCCTTCAGATAGGTCTCAGTCATTTTCTGCAAAGAGACGCCATTATCACCTTCGATCTATGTCCACTCTACGAAAATGATATTTCAAAAATGTGTACAATGCCATTGAATATATTTACACTCTAAAAGACAAAATCGTTTGTCTGTGCTGACTTATCCTAATACATATTTAAACAAACTGTACTGTAACATGTAGCAAAAATATTTAATTTCAATTTTTAAGGTGATATGAAAAAGTCATTCTATATACACATATCAAGACGTGAAAATATTTATAAAATCTCTCTTCGAAGCGGGTTTACTGAATCGTTAAAAAATGTACAACATGCATTTGGAGATTGTAAGGAAGGTCCCGACACCCAAGAAATTTCAATTTTTTTTAAATTATCAAAAAATTGTTTATACAATATAGAAATTTCACGGGTATGGAGACTTTCCTTCGGCTTTCCACATTTACGTGGTAGAGTTTCAAACGATTCCATCAACCCAATCCCGAAAAAAGTGTCATAAACGATCAATCGAGGTGCGACTTTCATATCGCCTTAATTAATTTTGTGTATATTTAATTCAGGCGACATGACCCTTTTCATATAAAAATCCTCGCCGTATGAAGTTATCAGTGTTAGTTATTAGTACAGTGAGAAAAAAATATCATTGAACCAAAGAAATATTTTATTAATTAAATGAATAATTATTTGGATCAACTAAACTCGAATAAATTGGATGCAACCATTTCTTTGGAATTATAACAATTTATTTGAGCCAACTAATTATTTATTTGAATTAACAAAATATTTCTCTGGTTCAATTAATTTTTTTCTCTCAGTGTACCTACTTATTCTCATAGCAAAAATGAGGCGTCTATTTATATCGTAGCATGGCCATTAATTAAAGGACTACTGTCAATGGAAGTACTTCTGCACTTTTCACACGTTACAACGAGCTTGAATCCAAGACCGCGTTTGCATGACTCCGAAAAAGTAACACTACCTGCGCATTCTTTAAACACTAGAATTTGCGACAGCATGGTAAAAACAGGAATAAAATTTACAATTCGGTAGCCAAATGTAGCGTCGATTTCAATATCATCTTCGGATGTTGTTGATTTCATTTTTTTTTGCGAGCCTAGAAATACCCTCGATGTCGCCCTTGAAGCTGTGGCGGTTGGGCGGCTTTCTGTTGGAAATTCTGCTCCGACTGGCACGAGCTGATAATGATCTGCTTCCTTTTTATTAACATACATTTTCTTACTCATTTTTATAGAAAAAATTACTAAAAAAATACTATAGAAAAGCAGATAAGCGCGTAACTCGGAGTAGCAAATGAAACTGCTTGCTGCGTGTTTAGCGTCAGTCTAACGGTTATTGTGGCTGCCTATGGCTTCTCTAAGATTTAACCCTTTTAGTGCCGAGCAACGATAGATCGTCGTTTTTCAAGTGCTAACGATTTCGGTCGGCACTAAAAGGGTTAATAGCGCTATCTATATATATTTTGAGGAAGTATAACTGATTTGTACCGGTAGAAATTACCAACAGAGCCGTAATACACTTAAAATGCTGCGCGCAGCTGAGCGGCCTTTGAAAAAGGTTTCGGAGAGCTCAGAGGCGTCCGGAAAATAAGCTATAGAAATTGTTTAAAAGCTTGCTCCACTCAAAATAGTTTTTGAATATCATTTTTTAATAGTTTATGAATCATTTAAGCCAATAAAAAAAAAACGAACGTAAAAATTTCCTGGGTAGTATAATTCCTTAATTATGTTCAAAACGCAAATTGTACCTATTTGTTCATCGAACACAATCGATTATCTTCTCCACTTGCGAATTATCGATTCGAATCTAGATTCGCGTAATAATTCCCAGGCACGACAAGCCCAACAATACGGAGACGTTATACAGAGGTGTTTAACTATCGCTTACAATTAGTACATCCAGACACCAAGATTGAAAAGGAAGTAACCGGAGATAGAAAAAAAGCCTCTAGGGCGGCTGGTGTCCCGGGGCATGGCCCGGGCCCCGGTCGACTACATCTCCCCGGCTGGGCGAGCGAGAGCTCTACACTCCCGGAGGACCGCGGCCCGACTTTGACTGCGGTGCAGTAGCGTAACTGCACCCGGAAGGTACACCACCAAGGGAGGGGGCACGCCGCAATGCACCACGCGCAGACGTCCTGGGCTTTGCGACTTGTTCGCCCTGGCCCTTGCCTCTTCCGCGAATCTCGCCCTCTAACTACCCCCGAGGAGACTCTGAGCTTCGAGATTAACCCTTCCGTTATTACAAGTTACTGAAACTGATCGCTGCGCCGACGTCCCGGAATTTCCGATTTTTATGCTCTGCCACCGACTTCAATCTGTGAGTCTTGTCCTCTAAAAATTTACAAGGAAGCTCTGGACTTGTATATTAACTCTTTCGTTAATAAAAATGAAGAATTTGTAAGAAGGCTTGGCTATTAAGGAGATGTGAAAGTGACTTCAGAAGCGTGAATCGTTCATAAAAATTTTTTACAAACTGGGCGTCCTAAAGCGTTTCAAACTTCACAAAGTGCTTGTGGAGGCTATTAGGAAGATCCTGACACTCGTGAAATTTCATTTTTTATAACAAATTAAAAAAAAATATATGAACGAATTAAAAAAAAAGTGAATTTCATGAGTTTCGGGACCTTCCTTATACTCTCCATTCTTATATTGTAAAGTGTGAATCGATTTGATACACCCAGATTGGAGAAAAGTTTCATGAACGAGAACTCTTTGACGCCACTTTCACATCATCAAAGCCGCGTTTTCTCCACGAACCGTCACCAGATACAATAATGCCACTTGTGTTCCCTTTCTCATCCCTCTTTTCCTTCTTTTCTTGAGTTGCAGTTTTCATACTAAGCTAGCAAACCGCCTCTACTCCAATAGCGATTCTGCGAACAATTTTGTCGTAAAGTGATTGGAAAATTGGCCGCGGGAGATCCATGAACGCGCAAAATGTTTTTATTCCATTCAATCCTACTCCCAGTAGCCGCATAGCAAGAATAATTCTATCATTAATGTCGTATCTTTTTTCAATAAATGGAGAACTAGGAATAGAAATCTTATCCCATTTTCGTCATGAAATAACAATTTTGAAACCCAAGCTGGGCTTTCCAGATTTGGTGAATGTCACATCAGATTTGCATTTTTTGCACACAACAGCTTACGATATAGCGGAGAACACTGCTAAAAAGTTCAAAATTCGGTAACCAAAGCCTTCTTCTTCTACTTCAAAGTCGTCAGGATCGATTGCTGATAATTTTCTAGCCGATGTGCCAACCTTCTCGACGCTTAGCTTCTCCATTTTGTAACGGTTCAACGGCCTCCGCTTTGAAATTTTCGGTCTCTTCAAATTTCTCGCTCAAATGTATTTGGCTCGAAATTCAACCAAGTTTCTTGATTAGAGCATTCCCCTGTTTTTGATTTTTTTTCACTATATACTGGTGTTTTATTTCTCATATTGTTTATGTTATTCACTTCAACACAACGAAATATATAATATATATTCATATAAAACAGAGAAATCAATGGAAAATAGCAAAACGAAGCATCTGCACGGCGTTTCTTGGCAGTTGTACTGACTTATTTACACGTTTATTAAAGCATTAGCGCACCCTGGTGAATTCCTGAGGAACCCTAAGAACCTTTTGCTCTGTAAGTAACAGGGCCATTTATTCTATTTCGAAAGGTGAAAGCGCGCGCGGCGCGTGCTCCGAGGTGCTGCGGTAAAATCGATAATTGAACCTTTTAAACATTTTTTTCACTATAGGACCAACTGCATATTGCTTTTATGATCCTAAAGTATTGTTTAAGCAATAAAACATCGATTTTTTCCGAAATCTTAGAGTGGTGTTACCCCTTAACTCCTTTGTTAAAAAAAAGTGAATATAGCCGATCTACACTGAGGTCCTGGGATTTGCGATTTCCATGCTCTGCCGCCTCCTCTAGTCTGTGAGTTTTATCTTCTAAAAATTTGTACGAAGGCTCTAGACTTGGATATTAACTCTTTTCTTAATAAAAATGAATATAGCCTACCGCTGCGCTGACATCCCGGATTTTGTCATTTTTGTGTTTTATTTCATAAATTTAATCCTCTAACGACTACAGTAATGCATGGCGGAAATTTGCTATTAAATAATAAAGCAAGGATAATACTAAATGATATTAATGTTCCATCGTAAGAATATTTGGATGCTTCCCTAAAAATGCAAGAAAGGGATTCAGCATGATTTCGATGTTTGATTTAAAAATGGACTCATGTTATGGAAATTAACACGTTCAACCCGGCGCTTTTTTTGCCGCCAGGTGAAAGCAATGCCTGTGAACCACCGGTGGTTTATGCCGGGTTGAACGTGTGAAATAAGAATTCTGAAGATCGACAGGCCAGGGTTTATAATTTTGTCCTTGAACTTAGGATCATGTACAAAGAGATGATAACTGTTAGTGACGAGTCCGTCGGTTGTGTTATAGAGCGCGTTATCAAGAATTGTTAAAAATCTACTTGAACGCATTACATATGGGAAGTACATATATATAAGCCGGGCGCGGATGAAAGACAACGAGTGCTTTTAACGTGTGACCAAATAAGCCGTCCTTGACGTCTGGCTTTTTGAGGGAGACATATACCTCTCTCGGTTATTTTCGTGGCGATTTTTATACATCAACCGCGATGCTCCGAAAATAACAGCCACGGGATGGCATCGTCGATCCAGGCTACGCGCGACGCAAAAATCCGAAGGGAGCCCCGATGCGCCGCCATCTTGTTTTCTGCAACCTCCTTCTGTCACCAATATCAGTCACTTTTATTTTCTGCTCCCCCAAAAATACACGTAAAGTATTAAAAATAATATCAAAAATACTCATCCTTCTTTTTCTACCATCTTTCCCATGTATACATAAAAAAAATCCATCGAACCACAGATATATTTATTTGAACAGTACCGACGAAATATTAAGTTAATTTAAAGAATAATTATTTGACTCAAATAAACTCAAACAAATTGTCATAATTCCGAAGAAACGTCGAATCCAATTTATTCGAGTTTATTCTGGTAAAATAATTATTCTTTAAATGAATAAAATATTCCTTTGGTACTAATCGCAAAGTGCGGAAACCCAACATCGAATCGCGCGGCGCACAAAAGCCGCCATCTTGTTTCCTAAGGGTCACCCGCTGGTATTGACTGCTTCCGCTGGCGTCAACGTTATCCCCGCCTAAGATAAAACTAGCAAGGTTTGTGAATGAGCCTCTCAGAGCACGCTACAAGGTATTCGGTCGATAAATAAGGTCGTTGTCGTGTATTCTCCAGCGCAGGCGTGCAAAGGCGAAGGTTTTTCAGCGCGCGCCATTTTGAATGACCGCCCTCCGGGGACCGTCCTCCTCACGTGACCGGTCACGTGCCCCCGCTACAATTTGAAAATGGCGAGTAACCGTTAGAATTGTCCCCCTAATTCCTGAGCGTTATAATGAGATAAAAAAGTAATTCAGATGATTTATTTCGCGTCTAGAGGACGTTTGCCGAAACATACTTCGAATTTCTTAACCGCAGGAATGTATGACGAAATATTGGGAGTTTATTTCCTGAAAATATCTCTCGGAATGTGTATACGTGAGCGAGTGCACGTAGAGAGTTGCGAGTAAAAGTACCGGCAATGTGGACGGTGACCACGTGGTCCTTGCGTCACTTGCAATGAAGAGAGAGGATTACGCGAGACCGTGCAATAGAGTTAGATAAGAGTATTCTGCGTGCGATAGAACGAAATGTCGGGCAGTTCATCGAAGAAGCGTCATTAGGAGTGTAATAATATCGCACAATGTCAGGGTGAGGGTGACTTAACATCGGAAGACTTAGTTTTTAGGCCCTGCCATTAATGAAAGCTTATTCTATAGAATTCAGTGAAATGTGGATCTGAAATAGCGCAACAGGTTTTCCGGTATTACGTGACGCTTCCCATTCATTAAATATCTGGACGTTATTGGTTAAAATAGAAAATTCGTTATGAGACTTTAATAGTCGTTGAATTAAGGTTCATATTTAATGATGATAGATATGAATTATTAAAATAATGAATCAAGGAACGAGATTTAATCAATTTCGGGCGCGACAAGTGCAAACATTGTCGCGACGGGCATTGGGAAAATGTCAGTCAAGGTCAATCACCCTGAACATGGCAAATTCAAGAATTTAGTCGAATATCTCGAATGCATCTCGAATGGCGCGTGGAGGATCGTAGGACGTGGAATTTGAGTGATAAAGAATGATTTGAATGGTACTTACGTGCTTTAGAGGAGGTTCGCGTGGATACGGACAAATGTGAAGGAGAATGCCGTCGAATGGGTGGACGGGGAGTGACTGAGAGCGACTGACGGTTTCAAAGTCTGACTCGCGCCGACGCAGAGGTTATCCCCAGTGACACTCAATCTTTCAAGATGGCGGCGACGCACGCCTTATCTAACAGTTGACCCCACGCGCGGCAAAACAGCTGCAATAACTCCTCTGACTTTAACATTTTTCAGAAATATTAAACCTCCTCTCGGTATTTGTTTAGGCGTCACTCGAACTCTGAATTATCCTTCTTCCTTTCTTTTCTTAACTTCTAGTACCGCACAGATGCCGAATGTCGCGAAAATTTAAATTTCGCGCGTGCTGGAATGGTCAATGACTGCAAATGTTTAACAGCGGGGAGGATTTAATTGAGGTTTGAAATATCGGTTCATTATAGGTCTTTTAAGGAAATGGGTGTATTTTGAGTTGTTTGATGGAAACTTTGATGTTTGACTTGGGGTTTTAGGAAAATTTATTTAATTTCTCGCTTCGGGCGGTAAGATAACCTCAATTGACGAGTCTTGATCCGCGTGAAGGCGATAAGAGCCTTGAATTGAGAACCACCTGTCCAGAGGTCGGTGAAGGTCACCTTCGTTTGACATTCCGACTAATCATTGAATTCTACACCGTTAGGATCAACTTATCCTTCGTCATGTGACGTTCGCCTCCTACACCCTTTACGACCGCTGCAATAAACCCCCGATCTTAGTTCGATTAAGTTAGGTTACGTGCGAGTACTTTCGTAAGTCCCTCGGTACCTGCAATTCAATTATGCGTATATTATCGGCATTCTTTATTTTGCATTATGCTGACATATTTATAATCGTCTAGTGCAAGTGTGCAACAGGAAATCTTTAGTGACAAATATTTTAAAGCTCAATCGCATGTCCTGGGTATATTATGTATACTATATGAATGTTACAATAAACTGGAATTATATATAATATATAAATTGGAAGAGGAGTTCATTAATTTTGTGGCCACTTGTGTGCATGTAGTTGTAGTAGGTTTGGATATATTGCCACAAATTTGTAGATGGTAATGTTTAATTTTTCCCTCGTTTTATCACAGCAGAAGATATTAAATCATTGCGAAAACATGTTTTTTAAATATTTCCGTGTAATCTCAAGTGTTATCAGTTAAGTGCTTGCTACATTTTGACATAGGTGATAAGACGTTATGTTGTTTATTTCATCCTGCAGAGTCTCCAAAGCTTCTGATGCAGTTTTCATTCTCGTTGGTTTCTAGACGTCCCTGTGACGCCAGAGAGTACTCCATTGCATTTTTCAGGAATATTAATTGAGCCTCTTTGGTGTTTTCAAAGTTTCCTGACCAAGCTCTGAATGCAGCATCCTTTGAAGAAACATTTATTTTTATGTAAAGGGTTCTTTATTAATATTTTACATATACTTTAGCTCTACATACCCGTAAAGGTCGTCCGAAGCAGAAACTGAGTACCCAAGGTTTTCTACCCTCGAATGTATTAATTGCATTCAAATTTAATGTAACTTCTTTATCAGATTGTGCACTTCCTAAGAACATGATAGCAGGCACCGCACAAGGAACCGTTCTCTGCAATGCTTTCACTGTGTACTCGGCAATGATCTGATGATTTCAAGAGTAACAAAATGGTACAATAATACCAGTAGTTTATAATATATTTAATATAAATATATTCGTACTTTAGGTAAGCAGTACTTAGGATTATCTTTTCCCGGCATAACCATAGCTGGTCTGAGAATCATGCCTTCTAAATATACTCTGTATTCCATTAGTGAACGAAATAAGATGGACAGCATTTCTTCGTGCACACGCCCAGCTCTGTTTATATCATAATCTCCAGTATTTAGAATTTCAGACTGTACGATAGGAACCAGCCTTGCACTTTGGCATATGCTTGCGTACCTACATACAGCAAAATTCAATACTATGTTCAACTAATAATAATTAATGTTTTTCTAGTACAAGGTACATAATTATGACGATGCCTTCGCACCTGGCTAAAACATGGGCATTTGCTTTCAATGCTAATTGACTTGGTAACCTGTCATTAACATGATATACACATTTCCATTTCGCAAAGTGGCAACCATCTTTTTTATACTGAATGCATCTCTCCTGTAAGTCGTCTAAACCTTGGGTGGTTAATTCATCTTTGGTACCGAACATGTAAGTCAAGCCCTTATCAACTTTTACTCCGGGTATGATGTTTCTTTGGCGTAGGAATTCAGAGAATTCTGAGCCATCCGAGGTCATTTGATGGATTGTTTCGTGGTTCAGGATTACGCCACTTATGTATCGGGCAAGTTCCAACTGTACGAGGAAGGATCGAAAGATAAGGCTTATTTGCTTAAATATTTACTGCACTTGTAGAACTGTGATTTAAAGTTCAGAAAAATATTAATTCCATCCTAATACCAATATTTGTGCTATTCCAATCTTGACACTTATCTTTTCTGTGGAGAACAACATCTGTCTGTAATCCCTTCGAGTCTGTTCGTTATTTTCAATATTGATCTCGTGAAACTTTTTCTCCAGTGTTGATACAGATTCATCCGCAGCAAGCACACCTTTTCCTGCAGCACTCAGAGCTTCTACGATTTTCTTTAATTCTAATCGTAGAGCTGGGTCCAACTCGGTGTATTTTGTGATAGCCGATGTTAACTATTTATTGTTTTTTTTTTAAATGAGTATCGAAACATCTGTGCTATTTATAAAGTACACATCCACTGATACGTAATTCAAGATTTTAGCATTCACATTGTCACTGGTTTTTAAATATTAGATATTTTATGCAAAACGTCACCTTTGTTGTTGACATCGCTTAATATTAATTATAAAATTTAGTTAGTTTCTATTTTACCTTCTCCTTACAGTAACATTTTCCTCTTAATCGAGCCATTTCTTATCTGCAATACCACTTGATAATTTTGTATTAAACAGTTAACGAGATATTGACTTGACATACACAGAATTTTGGTTAAGCTGTCAAAAAGAAAAACAAATGACACTCGACAGATGAATATGCATTTACTGTTTTTAACAGATTCGAAAAGAATGTTTTTGCGATTTACATACGTATATTTGCAGCAGGGTTGGATAAGTATAATGCGTCAAGTAATACACGTGGTTTTCTACACATATAATACGTCCTAGTTTTCTACGCAGACACGAAGTATATTACCCCAACTAAACGTGCAAAGCGCATGCACAATATCGTCAATAGCCAATGAGAGTCTACCTATTTACCTCTAAGAGAGATTCTCATTGGCTATTAAGGGGATTGCACTTTACGCCTCCACAATTCCGCGCACATTCGAATCAGCCTTGGAAATTTGAAATGTATGCGTATACGTGCATTTGACGTTTGTTTACAAGGGCTGATAACGGCTATTTGAAGTCGTAAGATTCGTAACCAATATTTATATCAAAATGTATAAAGGCGGAAGATCAAAAAGTAAATTATGGGATGAAACAAATCGACAAGATGGATGTTTATAACCTAGCGAATACCGCATGCCCTACGTCTGTCTTGTCCGCCATGTTTGACACGATACCTACTGGTTTTCTACGTTTTCTACGGTAAACTACTTGATTTACGTAATATACGTCAAACACCTCGAAAATCGTAAAATTACCAACCCTGCCGTCAGCTACTCATTTTTCACATTTTCGCTCAATTTGCTTTACGTAATAAATCCCCATGGTTTGATCTATAACCGGAAACTCCTTGGAAACCGCTTGAAATGATTCTTAATTGAATATCGATTTGCCGCCTTGCTGTACAGCCCTTTCATTAGTTTCAGTCACCAAATATTCACAAGAACAGAGAAAGTTTTGTATTAAATTTTTGGTAAATAAAGTAACAACATTCCCGTTGAAATGGAATTTGAAATAAACTGTTCAATGACACTGAAAATTCTAAAATGAACCTTGATTGTGCTTTTTGATATTTCACGAAATGGTGCAATTAGCGAAAAGGGAAATTGACATGTGTTCTTATATAAATAAAAAAATGGATGCAGAAGACGAAGGCGCTGAAACGTCGAAAGAGTCATCGGTTTTGGGCTCTTCTAGTAAGAGCTTCATTAGAGAAGGTATTTCAAATTAATTTGATCAGCGGATCGGTAACGCGCGGGATATTCAAAACGTATGCAAGTGTATATGTACTTGGTGCGAAACTCTACCGCGTTTCCTGATCTCTAGTACTCCATTTTCGATTATGATATAAATTGTGCAATATATAAATGATTGTAGAAATACATTTTAATCGATTATAGATGGGTTTGCAAAATATTTAACACTAGAACGACCGGTAGATTTTTTTTTTGTATAGGATGAGCCATTTGAAACAATTCATTTTAACCCGTCTTGGTAATTCAAGTGTTAAGCAATATTTTGTAGAAGTATCCTAACTCTGCTTTCGCTTTCTTTGTTGTATACTACATTAGATTTTTAGTCTAATTGATAAGGTCTCGTAAAAAGATTTGATTTCTGCAGGTTCATTATTTGACCATGATTTTTCATCGAAACCTGCGGCTGTTAAAGATCCCATTACTTTTCATTCGATTACAAATTCGACTCACATTTTGTCCTCAACTAAAGTGAGCTCTCTGTCGGAATTCAAAACCGAAGAAATTGCGACAAAGAGACCTGTATCATCTCCAAGAAAAAATTTCGATAAGGTGCAACATTTTTCCGAGGATAAATGCCCAGAATTGACGGTGAAAATGTTCTTCGAGTTCATGCGAACGGCTTATCAAGTGAACGACAGTGTGGAAGAGTTGGCTGCGATTATAACAGCTGGCAGTGAAATTGACTGGGCGAAGTTGGTAAAAACTGATCTTAATTTTAATAGTACCTCCAGCATTTCAGGGGATTCTTTAAATAGTACTGCAAATCAAGCAGAGGGTAAGCGAAAATTTAATGGATACAACAAATAATAAGTACATTATTCTATATTTTAATTCTATTTTTATCCAAGAACAATCAGTAGAAGTGCATGGTAACGAAGAACTGTTGATGTTAAACAGTTCCAAATGCACTTCTAAGTGTCAAGGATCCCTTTTAATGACTGCAACTGATAAAAGATGTCAAAAGGACGTGGAGTCTCCAAGGAAAAAAGCAAACGCGATTGTAGAAGTTTCTGAAGAAACTCCTGGTAATTCTTCAAGAGGGCAAACATCCTCAAAGAAATCAAAGTTTTTGTCCATTGAAAATATCGGCGAATACAGAGAACATACTTTGGGAAAAATGGTTAAGAGAAATTTGAGCGACATTCTTCATGAAGGCCTGTTGGATTCGATACTTCCGTACATGATACCAAAACCCATGTTTTCACAACCTGTTATTAAAAAATCTACGTCAAGTGTGGAAATCACAAAAACTGCTTCCCTTCCGTCGAATGTCGACAATAAAGTGACAATTTCGCTCACATCAGGCAAAGATAAGGATAAGGAGAAAAATAAGCTCCAACAAAAAGTGCTTGAGTGAGTCTGTAATTTCATTATTTATTCTTTCCAAAACGGACCTCCCATCCTTTACAGCACCAACATATTTCTCTATAGAGTTCTTAAAACGTACATGTCATGAATCAAATTGAAAAGTATATTACTTATTTTTCGTTTGAGTACTTTGTTATTTAAGAAACTACACTTTTAAATAGCTTTTCGTTTTATTGAAGATGTAGCCATAGTAAGCTTCTCATTTTATCATTTCTCTTATTATCTCGATTTTTCTTTGTTTAGAAACGAAGTGGAGATCCATGTTTGCGACGAGGCCAAAAATATAAAAAAGGACTTTCGATGCCCGCAGAGACTTTTAGTGCAGAAAATGCGCTATTTTGCAGATGTGACCGCAGGTCAGAAACTCGAGGAAATGGACATTTCCGTACACTGCGATGTCTTGATTTTTGACTGGTTGATGAAATGGGTGAAGAAAGATATTATTAAAAAATCTGAGTGGCCGGTTTTAGAAGCGAGCAACGTTGTGCCCATTATGGTATCTGCTTCTTTCCTGCAAATGGAACCTTTACTCGAGAGCTGCCTTACATACTGCCACAAAAATATGCCAGAAGTTTTGAAAACTCCGACAGTACTCACCTGTTTGAACGACAATATCCTCACAAGGTTATCTTTTTGGATACAAAATGATCCTTTTGAAAACTGGGGGCCAATCAATTTGTATATATTTGTGTTCCCTTTCGGGAATAATAACCGTTCCGGAAAAATAAATACACAGATAGTATTGATTGAACGTCATTATTTATAGTATTTTTTGTATAAACTAGACCAATTATTTTCAATTTACGATTAGTAAGGGTCACTTTGTTATTTACACGTTGCTTACAATGAAATATCATAAAATGGTGCTTTTTTTCCGGGGTTTCCAGGCTGGCTGACCTTTTCTCGAATGTCGACGCTGAAGTGTTAAAAGACAAGAAAGACAAAATCCAAAGCCGGCTGTTCTGCAAATTAATTGTCGCTTTAGCGGATCCGACACCGGATAACGAGAGAGGGCATTTTAGCTCATTGGCGACTTTGTTTAAATGCGGAAAGTGTGGGAAAACGGTCATACGCTCTGTATCAGATTTCGTGCCATGTATCGCAAGTGCAACGAGAATCGACAATGGAGGGAATTTGCACAGTACGCACACCAGGTGCATTGTACACTCAATATTAATTTATCGTAAATTCGGTAATTAATTAATCTCTCCAATAAAAGAGAGATCGGAAATCAGTAGTTTGCTGGCTACATTTATTTATTTCACTAATCCTTTTCTCGTCTGAAGTTTATTTTTTCTTTATTCCTACAGAGATTTAACATGGACGCTGAACGAGTACGTCGTCGCCCTAAGAACGGAATTACGTTCCTGGAGAAAGGTATATTGGCGACTTTGGGGTGATTGCCACTTTTTGTACTGCAAAGTGTGCGGGACGTATTTTCCAATCCATCGGATGAATTGGTGCTCTTATCATGCGGAAATGCCACAATTTTTTGTGAACGAGCAACAGAGATCCACGCCGTTTCCTTTAGGCAGATATCCGTGTTGTAGTCAACGAGCCTACAAATTTGAGGCTTTACCTAATCGAGAGGGATGCAGATTCAAGGTGAGATGAAAAGTTTAAAAATAGCAATTGAATTTACAAGCCAATTCCATTATTCGACTGATCAACTTATAAAAAGATATGATAACAGACATTTAAGTCCTTTCGCTTCAGGAACACGTTTCAGTAATTTCAACTGACAAGGAATCAGGTATCTTGAATATCTTCGCCTTGCACAGGGAGATAATATCATTGGACACTCCACAATTGTTCTTTCCCGAAAGAATTACAAGATTAGTGGCAAGAGACCCCTCTCTTCCATTTGGGAAATTGATGTGCAAAGAACCCATGTGGTGGGATGGAATAGAACTCGCCCCATCGAGGCCGAAATTGGGATTACTAGGTGAAGATTTTCAAATGTTATATATGCAGTAGAAAAAAAGGAAATAATATACTTCATGACTGACTGAATGAAAAAGAAGAGATTAAATTACATCTAAAGGATTTATTCATTGCATTGAATTTTTAAATATCTAAATGGGATTTAATCTCATTAAGACGCATAATCTATACAAGTTGTTTTGCTTCGACTTGATTTTTTTGTTGTTTTGATCAGAAGGATTTAATGAAAAGTTATTTTATAGAGAAAATCTGGGGAGGATCAGGATTTCGGAGATCATGTCAAATTCCAGGAGCAACCAAAATAACCCGCAAAGCTTTCCAACAGGCATCGCAAGTAACAGAGGCTTCTTCACCGAGTTCTTCAATAGTGGATACAGACGAGGACGATATTACAACAGGAATCGGCGAAAGCAGCGCCGAAGAGGAATCAGACAACAGCGAAGAATCTCATGGGTTATCTCTCACCGAGATTCGTAAATTAAAGAGGAAATCCAGATACTACACAATTAAGAAGTACGAACAACGTTTTTTGCCGATATCTTTTTCTTTATTTTAATATTTCGAAACTAGTGCTCTTTCGATCTTCCTTTATGCTAAATTCGGGAAATAGTTACTAAAAGAAATAATTAAATATTGTTTTAAATTCAAGGAGCGATGGTGGACGAATTTGGAATGTTAATCTAATGGCGCGATATAATCAAGACAATCAAAGAGACTTTGAAGAAAGAGCAGCAGTCCAAATGATAGCTCTTTTGACGAAAAGAACATCAACTGAGTGCGGTTTACTGCCGAAATTGCACTTTACCAACAAACAATACGAGAATACGTGGAACTATATCCAGCCTCTTGGTACAATTTTCATTTTGATTTTATTTGAAAAAATGGATGTTTTCTGTAAGTCGCTCTACTTTCTAAAACATTAGAAATTAACTTACATAATTTGATTGTGTTACAGGTGGGACTTACGTGAGGTTAGAGTCTGAATTTCGAGAACAGCTTGTACAATCGTACAAATGGAAAAATTCAAACCAAGCAAAGGGTTCTGTGCGTGTCAAGGCGTCGAAACTGTTATAGATCAGACATTTTATGGTCTGCATAAAATATAAATAGTAAATGTTATGTTTTAACACAATTTCATAATTAACGTATGCTTAATCACCTTAACAAATATTGTAATTAGTACCTTTCTGTAATTATTAATTTTTCCTCAATAATGACTGTAATGGTTCACCAAGCGATGAATTTGTCATTACTATAAGTATTAACAAGGTTGTAATTATTTTTCAGTGCGTTATTATTGTAAAAGTTACTTTTTTCATAATGTACAACTTAATTTACACTGACGTGTATTCCACTTCCTGTTTTGCTAGATACCGATCAATATAATGTAATGTCTCAAAGCCCACTTCTACCATGATTAATACAATAATCATCCACTCTAGGCGTACATGATGACGATCGCTTAGATGAGAAGATAATAGTTCCACCAATTCGACGCAGTGATTTATTTTTTCATTCATTACCTGAAAGCAGGATTTAAAAAATGCATCATGAAAGAACAGAATATAACATAGATGATAAGATAAATTATGCAATGTACCCTTGTGCGTTTCGCGATACTGAAATATCCACAAGTTTGTAGATATAATGCTTCAAGCTCATCTCTCTCCCAATAAAAGTCAGGTGTATCTAGCAAGTCTGAACTTAGATTAATTAAATGCCTCAAAGCAAAGAGTTCTCCCTGCTTCCTCAGTACTTCTTCACGACTCATTCTAATTTGTCTTCCAGCTTTTAAGTCTTCTGTTACAAACTCTATTGAACTAACATAATGGTCTAATGATGCTTCCCAAATGCCAAGCTTCACTGTCTGTGATATGGCATTAGAAAATGTATATTTTTCTAGGTAGGAAGCATTATTATTTAAAACAATAATTCCATCTTTAATATGATTTTTCTTTCTGTAACATACATATTATAGAACAACCATTATGTGAATGAAAATTAATACCAAGTTCTTGACAAACTGTTGAATTCTACCACATTATCTTACTAATACATACATTATGGTACAGTAAAATTGCTTATTTGCTCAAAAATATTCATTTGATATGCAAATAAATTAGTCTTACCCTGGTTCCCCATATGTGTAAGACATTAATTCGCTTTCAGCATGTACCAAAAAATTTGAATAACTATTTTCTTCATATTGCTTTAAAAACAATAAAACATTGCTGCCTTCTAATTCAGAAATGTTCCACATAATAACAGAGCCCTCTTGAAAAAAAAAAATTTCTCTTGGTTCATTTCCTACTTCATATTTGGCCACTGCATGTATAGCATAGGGTAGAGCTGAAACATAATTAAATCTAGAAATTAAATAATCACTGGTAGATCGATACAATAAATGTTCTAAAGTCTCTTTTTTGAGATAGAATTGATCTAAAAATATATCTACATCTTGTAGGTGTAGTTATTTCCCTTGGCTTATATAAATTTTGCTCATTTAAACCAATTACAAGTCTTTCCAAATCGTATTCTTCTGCAGTGGCCCATCCTTTCACGTTCCAAAACTAAGGATGAAATCAGAAAAATTTACACGTTACTTGTCAATAATTAATTTATATTAAATAGCCTTATAAGCTAACTCTAAGTAAATCGTTACAAGGTTCATATTTATATGTGCGGGTTTAAAGTATAGAAGATTCTTAGTGATAACAAACAATCGGTTTGCCATCAACAATGAAAATGCACTTCGGAACTCACTCCAGGCACCGGAGTCTCATCATCTTTTGTTGCTGACTTTTTTTTCCTGTGGGAACGTTTTTTCATTTGAAGTGCCGAAATATTTTCTTGAATTCCCTTATGTCCTGTTGCGGACAAAAAACTGCCCTTATGATACTGATTGTATTGTCCGACATTGACACCAAACGAATCATAGTGAACTTTTGAATAACACACTGCAGAAAAGGGGAAACTTTGGATATTTACAAAGCCGGTAACGGAATTCGTAAACAATTGCAGCTTTGACGTGTTGATCCTCCCGGCGACTAACCTCTGCACTGTTATTAAAAGCATTTTGTATTTAATTAATTGTCCATTTACGCCGCACAATTTGATCGTATTGTATTATAAATATTTAAAATCATATTACTAAACTATGACTGTATATCACACGAGACATGTTGTCATAACACTACATACACATAAGGTTACACATGCAAATAGAAAAACTAATTTCACCGCGTGCGTTTTCATCGCGAAATAAATATATATGTAGATGCAGAGAGAGATGACAGTGTAGACAGAGATGAGTTGGGAGATTGCTCACGGAGGGGATCGTGAGATCACATCCTGTGCTGCCATCTGGTTTCGTACGTTAGCTTTCACCATTTTTTGCCCCCAAGGTCGGCGCAACGAATTTCTGATAGGAGCTCGCGCACTCGCGATGACGGTACCATCTACCAGTGACCGTTGGCGGCTCACGTACTCGTGACGGTAATACCATGCGGCAGTTGACGGGGGTGGCTTTAGAGTTCGAAAATTCTCGGTAACATTAAATTGGAGAAGGTAACTGTGAAACATACTGTAAGTTACCGGGAACATTGAGGATTTAAGAGAACGTTAATTTTGTTATTTATACTTTAGGTTTCTTCGTTTAAATAACTTTTTTTTTTCAATCAACTTCAAAGTTCAAGCTAAAGAGTAATAATTACTATTAGAAAATATTGATTATAAGTTCGTGTTTACCTCCAGCTAAAAATATTCACGTATCTACAACTTCACGGAAAATTCCATGCGATTTGTTTCAAATGAACTTTCATTCTGCGACGAAGCGAATGGAAGGTTTTGATTGGCTACGGAGAACGTACAACGGAAATTCCCCTCTACGATGTTTCTCTATAGCTAATCGAAACCTCTCGTTCAATCTGTTGGAAAATTCAAATTCTCATAATTTCTCGATAAAAAAAGGCTGTGGAGAAATTATCGATAAGTTACCGGGAATTTCTCTTTGTTTCTGACGTAACTTACTGGATTTAGAACTCTAGGTGGCTTACGTACGCTTACAGACACTGCTCGCTTTTGATGGTAAGGGAAGAACGCTCGTGACGCTCCATATGACTTTATCTACTTATCTACTACTATTAAGTACATTGTTGCCTCGAAGTCGACGTGACGCGGAGCTTTGGGGCACGCGTCGATGTCGCGTACGGAACTCTCATATCAGTGAATCTGTGTGAGTGCGATCGCTCCTAGAAATCTTCGCGCGTCCCAACCAGCCAAGCGCCAAGCTACGGGTCGAGACGTTGAGTATGCGTGCGTTCGGCGCTACACTCGACGAGTATGTGTGAGAGTCGAATACTGCGAAAAATCCTCCCGAGGCTTACCTAACTGCGGATATAAGCCGAGTCATTTCACGTATGATTTTTACATTTCCCTACTAGCGTCATCGAGCGCTTTCAAGCGTTTCTAGAGCATTTTTGAACGCTTTCGAACGTTTTTGAGCGTTATCTAGCGTTTTTCGACCGTTTTTGAACGTTTTCGAGCGTTTTTCGACCGTTTTTGAACGTTTTCGAGAGTTTCTCGATCATTTTCAAAGCGGTTTCGAGCGTTTTCGAGCGTTTTTACACCGCTTTTGACCGTTACCGAGCGTTACTCAACCGTTGTCGAGTGTTTTAGAGTGTTTTGGAGCGTTATCGAGCATTATCGAGCGTTTGTCAAGCGTTTTCGAGCGATATCGATCGTTTCTCGAGTGTTTCTCGGTCATTTTCAGTGCATTTTCGAGCGTTGTCGAGCGTTATCGATCGTTTTCGCGCGTTTCTCAAGGGTTTTCGAGCCTTATCGAAGACCATACAGTACCGGTGAGTGTTGTTAAGTGCAGTAAAGTGCAGTAAAGTGCCGGAGAGTGTCGGAGAGTTGCCGCAGAGTGCCGGAGAGTTTCGGAGAGTTGCCGCAGAGTGCCGGAGAGTCCCGGAGAGTGTCGGAGAGTTGCCGCAGAGTGCCGGAGAGTGCCGGGAGTGCCGAAGAGTGCCGGAGAGTTGCCGAAGAGTGCCGCAGAGTGCCGCAGAGTGCCGCAGAGTGCCGGAGAGTGCCGGAGAGTGCCGGAGAGGTGCCGCAGAGTGCCGGAGAGTGCCGGAGAGTGCCGAAGAGTTGCCGCAGAGTGCCGGAGAGTGCGGAAGAGTTGCCGGAGAGTGCCGCAGAGTTGCCGCAGAGTGCCGGAGAGTACCAGAGAGAGCCGGAGAATGCCGGAGAATGCCGGAGATTTGCCGCAGAGTGCCGCAGAGTGCCGGAGAGTGCCGGAGGGTGCCGCAGTGTGCCGCAGAGTGCCGGAGAGAGCCGGAGAGTGCCGGAGAGTGCCGGAGAGTGCCGGAGAGTGCCGAAGAGTTGCCGCAGAGTTGCCGCAGAGTGCCGGAGAGTACCAGAGAGAGCCGGAGAATGCAGGAGAATGCCGGAGATTTGCCGCAGAGTGCCGGAGAGTGCCGGAGAGTTGCCGGAGAGTCCGGAAGGGTTGCCGGAGAGTGCTGGAGAGTTGCCGGAGAGTGCAGGAGAGTGCCGGAGAGTTTCCGGAGAGTGCCCGAGGGTGCCGGACAGCTGCCGCAGATTGCCGCAGAGTGCCGGAGAGTACCGGAGAGGTACCGGAGAGTACCGTAGAGTGCCGTAGAGTGCCATAGATATCCCTAAAGTGACGTATAGTGCCCGAGAGTGCTGTAGTGTGCCACAGAGTTGCCGGAGAGTGCCGGAGAGTTGCCGCAGAGTGCTGGAGAGTGCCGGAGAGTGCCACATAGTGTCGGAGTGTTGCCGTAGAATGCCGTAGAGTGCATTACAATGCATTAGAGTATATTAGAGTGCTGTAGTACTCTAATTTGAGTGCATAGATTACCACTGTAATCAGAGTACCTTTGTTAGAGAGCCGTTATGAGTACCTATTTAACCTATCTAACAACCTGCCTGACCTAACCTACCTGACCTAACCTACCTGACCTAACCTACCCGACCTAACCTACCTGACCTAACCTACCCGACCTAACCTACCTGACCTAACCTACCTGACCTAACCTACCTGACCTAACCTACCTGACCTAACCTACCTGACCTGACCTAACCTACCTGACCTAACCTACCTGACCTAACCTACCTGACCTAACCTACCTGACCTAACCTACCTGACCTAACCCAACCTAACCTAACAAAGGCACACTGATTAGAGTTCTAATCAAGGAACTTTAATTAGAGTGGTACAGCCCTCTACTGCACTCTAATGCATTGTAATGCACTCTACGGCATTCTATGGCACCCTACGGCACTCTACGCAACTCTAGGGCACTCTACGGCACTCTATGGCACACCAAGGCACTCTATGGCACTATAGGGCCCTCTGGGGAACTCTAGGGAACTATACGGCACTGTAGGGCACTCTAGGGCACGTTAGGGCACGCTACGGCACGCTCGGGCACTCTACGGCACTCTCCGGCAGTCTCCGACAACTGTCCGGTACTCTGCGGCCCTCTCCGGCACTCTACGGCCCTCTGCGGCACCCTCCGACATTCTTCGGCACTCTGCGGCAAATCTCCGGCACTCCCCTGGACTCTCCGGCAACTCTGCGGCGCTCTCCGGTACTCTCCGGCACTCTCTGGCAACTCTGCGGCACTCTGCGGCGCTCCCCGGCACTCTCCGGCACTCTCCGGCAATCTACGGCAACTCTCCGGCGCTCTCCGGCACTCTCCGGCACTCTGCTGCACACTCCGGCCATCTCCGACACTCTGCGGCAACTCTCCGGTACGCCCCGGCAACTATCCGGCGTTCTCCGGCACTCTCCGGCACTCTCCGGCAACTGTCCGGTACTCTGCGGCATTCCCCGTCACTATGCAGCAACTCTCTGACCCACTCCAGCAATTTCCCGGCACTCTCCGGCGCTCCCCGGCACTCTCCAGCACTCTCCAGCACTCTGCGGCAACTCCGACACTCCTCGGCACTCTGCGGCAACTCTCCGGCACTCTCCGGAATTCTCCGACACTCTCCGGCTCTCTACGGCACTCTCCGGCAACACTCCGGCACTCTCCGACACTCTCCAGCACTTTCCGGCTCTCTGCGGCAACTCTCCGCCACACTCCGGCACTCTCCGGCAACTCTCCGGCACTCTCCGACACTCTCCAGCACTTTCCGGCACTCTGCGGCAAATCTCCGGCACTCCCTTGAATTCTCCGGCAACTCTCCGGCGCTCTCCGGTACTCTCCGGTACTCTGCGGCACACTCCGGCCCTCTCTGACACTCTGCGGCAACTCTCCTGTACGCCCCGGCAACTCTCCGGCGCTCTCCGGCATTCTCCGGCACTCTCCTGCAACTCCCAGGCACTCTGCGGCGCTCTCCGACACTCTCCAGCACTGTCCGGCACTCTGCGGCAACTCTCCGGCTCTCTACGGCACTCTCCGACACTCTCCAGCACTTTCCGGCACTCTGCGGCAACTCTCCGGCACTCTCTGGCAACTCTGCGGCACTCTCCGGCATTCTACGGCACTCTCCGACATCTCTCCGGCACTCTGCGGCGCTCTCCGGCACTCTCCGGCACACTCTGGCAACTCTCCGGCACTCTGCGGCGCTCTCGGGCACTCTCTGGCACACTCTGGCAACTCTCCGGCACCCTCCGGCAACTTTCCGGCACTCTGCGGCACCCTCCGACACTCTTCGGCACTCTGCGGCAACTCGTCGGCAACGCTCCGGCAACACACCGGCGCTCTCCGGCACTCTACTCCAGCACCCCGGCACTCTGCGGCGCTCTCCAGGGCTCTGCGGCACTCTGCGGCAACTCACCGGGACACTCCGGGACTCTCCGGCAACTCTCCGGCGCTCTCTGGCACTCTTCGGCAACACTCCGGCACACTCCGACACTCTCCAGCACTGTCCGGCACTCTGCGGCAACTCTCCGGCACTCTCTGGCAACTCTGCGGCACTCTGCGGCGCTCCCCGGCACTCTCCGGGATTCTCCGACACTCTCCAGCTCCCTCCAGCACTCTCCGACACTCTCCAGCACTTTCCAGCACCCTGCGGCAACTCTTCGGCACTCTCTGACAACTTTGCGGTACTCTGCGGCGCTCTCCGGCACTTTCCGGCACTCTCCGGCACTCTGCGGCAACTCTCCGTCACTCTCCGGCACTCTCCGACACTCTTCGGCACTCTGCGGCACTCTCCAGCACTCTTCGGCACCTCTCCGGCACTCTCCGGCACTCTACTGCACTTAACGACACGCAACAGCACTGTACGGCCTTCGATAAGGCTCGAAAACCCTTGAGAAACGCGCGAAAACGATCGATAACGCTCGGAACCGCTCTGAAAATGATCGAGAAATGCTCGAAAACGCTCGAAAACGCTCGAAAACGCTCGATAACGGTCGATAACGGTCGAAATTTTCGAAGACGTTCAAAAACGCTCTAGAAACGTCTAAAAATGCTCGATAACGTTAGTAGGGAAATGTAAAAATCATGCGCGAAATGATTCGGCTTATATCCGCAGTTAGGTAAGCCTCGGGAGGATTTTTCGCAGTTTTCGAGTCTCACGCATACTCGTCGAACGTAGCGCCGGACGCACACATACTCAACGTCTCGACCCGTAACTTGGCACTTGACTGGTTGGTACCCGCGAAGATTTCTAGGAGCTATCGCACTCACACAGATTCGTTGCATTAGAGTTCCGTACGCGACACCGACGCGTGCCCCAAAGCTTCGCATCACGTCGACTTCGTGGCAACAATGTACTTAATAGTAGTGGATAAGTAGATAAAGTCAAATGGAGCGTCACGAGTGTTCTTCCCTTACCATGAAATGCGAGCAGTGTTGGTAAGCGTAGGTAAGCCACCACCGTCAACTGCCGCATGGTATTATCATCACGAGTACGTAAGCCGCCAAAGGCGACTGGTAGATGGTACCGCCATCGCAAGTGCGCGAGCTCCTGTCAGAAATTCGTTGCGCCGCCCTTGGGGGCAAAAAACGGTGAAAGCTAACGTACGAAACCAGAGGCAGCACAGGAAGCGATTGCACGATCCTGCCCATAAGCTATCTCCCAACTCAGCTCTGCATTTATGGTCTAAGTTCTTATATCTATGAGTAAAAAGGAACCAGAAGGAACCTTTATAGAACCTGACATGCGCAAAAAGACGCGGAACTTTCAGTCGTATCTCTTGGAATTAACATTTTCTTTGTTCTCATGCTCGACTAGCAAATTAGTTGAATATAGCATAAAATATTTAAAGGGAATTCTTATTGTTTTTGTCTCGTATCATCTATTGAACTCATTCCTTCCATGTTGGTCTTACTTGCATTGCTATAATTCACTTTCAAAACACTTCACTTGCATGCAAGTATTGACAAGCATCAGCGATTATGCAGAGTTGAAGAGGACGTTAACCTCTATTCACGAGTTGTTAATGCTTCAGGATAAATAGACGAAGAAACCTAAGCAATTATAATCATTTAGTAATTAGTACGTGATTTTCAGGAGTTTAAATTAAAATTGATATATATAAAAAAAGAAGAAAAAGGGAAACGTAACTCAAAGTGAACTGGAAGAGAAACCAATTATGAATTGGATTTTATACTCCAGATGGATTCGGAGATAAAGCCCTACAGGTCATTGCCACCTCTTGTTGAGGGCAAGATTCAAGGGTATCTCAAGCTAATTGTTGACGAGGTCGTTTGGTCAAGAAAGAGTCCAGGAGACATCACTGTAGTAGCTGTCTGGTGGGGAGAACTTGACAGTGCTCAATTTAGGTATGCAATTTTTTTTAAATCTGTAAATTATTTTGAAATAAATCCTATTAAATTATTAAATGTATTTAGGTTATAGTATTGTAATCGAGGATGTGTTAATTATTTCAATGATTAGTACAAAATAATTCCTTTTTTTTTCACTTGTAGGCCTGTCGATATTAATACAGGAACACAACGAGCAGGCGATGATATAGTAGAAACTTATGCTATCAGAACAAATACAAAGCTTTTTGGAGAATATCTGAAAAATTGCGAGACAATTGAATTCGTTGTTATTATAGAAAAAACACATCAATTTATTGGATCGGCTCATATTTCTGATCTTATAGAGATTTCAAAGGTTAAAGCAATAAGTAGGTATGTGCCGATAATAAGCGAAGGTGGCAATAGATTAGGTGATATTCATGTTGGAATCAAATTGTTGATAAATACTAATAGAATTTCAATGATGCCTGTTAAAGAAAATGACTTTCATAAATATGAAGAGGATATTAAAAAATCAGTTTTACACCATGAAGATTTGGATCTAAAACTTGATAGCAACTGTAAAAATGACTATAGTAGAAATTTGTTTAACTATAGAAAGAATACTCCTTTAGCAGTAAAAAATGCTAAACACAATGAAAATGTCTGTAAGTCTATTCTTAAGGAGAAAAGAGCAGATTGGGAACAGTCTCCAAAAAAACCTAATAGTGGAGTAACAGATAAGCTTGTAGCACAAGTTCTTGCAAGAGCTCAGAGATTAAGAGGCGTACTGTTAAAGGAAGCTTGCGATGAAGATTTATTGGCTGCTAATGAAAGATCAATGCTAGGAATATCAGAATCAGATTCTTCTATAGAAAATGAAGCAAAGCTGTACGAATATTTCCTTGGGAAGAAAATGAGTCACTGGGCAGAGCATAAAGCATTAGAAACACTGAAATCCACATCACCTACACCTAGCCTACTTAATCTTGCCACAGAAACAATTAAATCGTGTCAATTCAATAATAATGAAGCAGACACAAAGGATTATAGCTCTCACAATAAAATGAATGAAATAGAGAAAACAATATCCAGTGGGTCAATTATTACAAAATCAAATGGTATTTTAAATTTGAATTTGAAGTTATCTACTACTACTACTACTGCTAGTACTACTGCTAAATTTAATGTACTTTAATATCATGGTACTTGTTTTTCTTTTTTTAGAAACATCTCCTTTGGATCATGTAGACAGTATTAGATTTATAATTGAATCCTTATCGCTGACTTCAGCAGGCTTCAGAAGAGTACGATCTTCATGTTTGTCTCGTAAGTTCCTTTACAATCAGAATTAAGTCATAAATTCATATTTTTATTCATATTTAATGAATTTGATGAGAAAGGAAATATTCCAATTTTCTTTGTAGGGGGAGATGGCGTTCCAGTTTCTGTTACATACTTTGTTCAGTATGAAACAGTATTTGCAAATATAAAAAAAAATAATAGAAATTTAGAAAAAGAAAATAGACCTGCACATATGTGTTCGAAAAGGCAGATTGGACAAGGTAGGTCTAAGGTACAATTTAAAATTGCTTTGACTGGGAACATCCTGATTAACAATGTACATGTAATGTGCTTACAGTTATCTACTTTAATCATGAAGCAGTTTATAGTATATCGAAAGCTTGCCTTCATTCAGATACACCGATAAAATTTAAAGTATTTAATCGACACTTGAATCAAAGAACACCAACAGAGCTCGGAATTGGATTTATGCGAATTAGTGACATAGCGCAAACAGATTTTTTGTCTATGACTCAGAAAGTGGCCATTGTTAATAAAGGTATCAAAATCGGTGAACTGAAGGTATTGACTGAATTGGGATGTGACTGTATTCATTTTGGAAGACAATTTGTTGGTAAGTTTTCTCTTTTAATTGCCATAAATCTTATACAAGAATAAAATTTAACCTTTGTATTAAAAATTAACCAACAAGGTTACATTTGCAGTAATGAGTATATATTCAGATTTTGTATATCTATTTAATTCAATTATTTTTAAAAATAGAAGCTGTAATGTGTGCAAAAGAAAATATTCCAATACTTGAGATATCATCGTCGATGAATTTAGGAAGTAATAGATACAAAAGTGCAACAGGAACAGAATCAAAGACAAACAGTCGAGTTTCATCTGCTTCAATGAAACAGAGAGGACACGTTAACAACGAAGCCGATAATAGCGCGAGTAATAGAGATGTGCCGCAACGTAACAAACAAAATTCAGAAGACCAAATTGTTGGTATTAAGAAGCCTGAACATACTAGTAATGACAAAGTAAGTAGATGCTTCTTAAAGATATCTTAGAAAAGCTAACTTAACATAACCTTTACAAGTCGGTAATAAATATGTGTGGAAATAAATGTTTGTATCTTAATAGATCTTGCTACATGGATTGATATTTATCGCCGAGGGCAGAGATTTACCACAACAGAATACGTACTTAATTTGTCGAGCATTGTGGCGAGAAGACAGAGCTACAAGTCGTCTTTGTAACGGCTCCAACAATCCCTTGTACAATTTTCATCAGGTACTAATCCTTCTACTGTCTACTACTCGAATGTCCATTATGATTTACTCCAACCGATTACAAAATTCTTTTTACACAGTTGATTCCCTTGATACATGGGCCAGACCTATTGGAACGAACAAAGGACAATTGCATCATAACTGAAATTTACAGCAAGAACTCTTTAGGGACAGATAGTCTCATAGGCATAGCAAAACTGCCAGTACATCAACTCTACGTGGCCTACAGAGATCCTCAAGTGGTACCACATTTATTACAATTGAAGGTAAAAATCTACCTTGTCTGTAAGCTTTTCTACACGTTAACATACCCATTAGAACATTGAAACAGCAGCTATACTTTCCAGTATCCCATCATCAGTGTCGATGGTTGGGTTCCTATAGTCAATCCAGTAACTGGCCAGCCTTCTGGACAACTATTAGCACTAGTAGCACTTGGAACTGCCGACCAAATTGCCTTGTTAGAGATGATTAGAGGTCTCCGTGACTGCGCAGTCACCCCTCGTACTTTACGAAACCACCCGAACGGTGCCTTGGAACAAGAGAGATACCGACAAGCCGTTCAAGACCCGTCAACTAATCCAATAATCGAAGACCAGAATTCTGCAAGTTGTTGTCCGATAATCGACAACAATGTTCTTGCATCGAGAGGTTCGGAGAGTCCGCGGCGATCGACTAATATTCAAATTATGAAGACTCAGGAGTCGCAGACTGATGTAACAACGATCGAAGGAGCAAAAGCCACTGATAACGTTCTCGCTCAAGCTCGAACAGAGATCTTGAATTCTCAAAGCTCGGTCTTACATGAGTTGGTAGATAGATTAGCCCAGGTTTTGAGTGCGCCGAAAGCAAACTCCATCCAGACCGTTGAGACCCAAACCTCTACTCCGGAGGAACTCAAAGCATCTACATCTGCCAAAAGACTGTGCCTGGATCTATCCTGCAACAACAGTCTATCGGATAACAGTAGTAATGGCAGTCCTAGAGAACCCTTTCGCATTCCTACCGAAATGTATCGGAGTGTCGGAGTAGGAGCTGAATTTGATGAAGAGGCTAATCTGTTGCCCAGTACCAGCTACGGCATCGAGCACTCTGATTTATCCCCAAGATTACAGCCCTTGGTGGACGATGATCGAGATACAGAGCGAGAACTCTCCCATTCCGAGGAACCATTTTTCAGAGCAGCCGTGGAAATCGAGTGCGCTCTGCATTTACCAAAAGTCGAGCGACTCGACGATGCCATCGAACCCAGCACCTATGTCACCTTTCAAAAATTCAGAAATTCAACCAATGTTGAACAGTTTGGGTCCTACGTAATTACAAATGTATATCCAAGTAACTGCAATCCAAAATGGGAATGGAGATGTGACACCAGACTACCGACTGAGCTGCTAGTTAATGTAAAATAATATTTTAAAACGTTATTTCTTGTTTAAGCATCACAGGTATTTCTTTACGATTAACGTATTACATTTTCAGGATGAGAAAAGAATGATTCTAAAGGTATGGCGATTACTGGATGCAGAAGTGAACTCGAAAGTTGATTTAGAGCATGACATAGTCATAGGATTTTCCGCTTTAGACTTATCGGTACTCACTGCAGGTTTTCCAATAGTATCTGGTTGGTTCCATATCATGGACTTCACTGGAAAATGCAACGGTCAGATTAAGGTACATGTAATTCACTAGAATAATACATTTCAACTTATTTTCTTAAGTAATGATTGTACTTAGATCGTTACAAATTATTGACTAAGATAATTATAAACACGTTACATTCATTTCAGGTCACTGTAACTCCATTAGAAGATATTTCATCTTTTGGAAAAACAATTTCTTCTAAAAGTCTTTCCAAAGCACCAGCTCCAGGTCCTACTGAACTTAATTGGTGTTCGGCATATCCACAAAATACGTTAAATTCTGGTGCAACCTTCAATAATGCGATTAATCCTGCTTGTTGCGCTGAATCTAGAGTTCCAAACAGCCACAATCGATTAGATAACGATCCTGCAGTTGAACTGGGATTTGGAGATGTCTCGATGTCATTTTTATCTTTATCTCTGCAGTGAGTAGATTTACGTTTACATTTAATAATTATTTTCCTGTGTATAAAGTGATGTAAAGAGAACGTTTTTTTATCTTAAGTTTATAACAAGAATGTTTCCTTTTTTTAAATTTCCATTCATTTTCATTTTCAGACAAAAGCTTTCGGAACTACATGAAATTACGAAACGCCTGCAGTCTCGTTTGCATGACGTTACGAACGCAGCATTCGACGACGACTTTGATAACGATTTCGATACAAACGATCCGGACATGGATAATGATTACAGGAATAATGCAGAAAATCCAGCAACTGCCAACACAGTGTTTTGCGACATTGCAAACTGGTCAATGTCTAACAATCGACCTCCGGATCATGGCATCGTGAATGGAAGTCGAAAATCTCACATTTACGAGGACAATGTAAAACAACTGTCTCATTTAACTGGAAGCAACAACGGAATAAGCCCGGAGCCCAATTTTACGGATACCGGATATTCGACGAGTTCGAACGTTCCTTCAAATCGGCCGCTATCAAATGGCCAACATAATACTATAACTAAAAACGGGAATCATTTGATAAATGACGATTCTTCGAATGTCAATAACGGTTATCCTGCTAGGGGTACCAGAACTCACATCGGTCACCTGCTGGACAAGTTATCGCTTCAGTTGTCCGCGGCTCCTCCACCAGCAACTTGTAGTTTTCCTATGAAGAGGAACGTCATTGACTTAGTGAATAGCCTACAATACCGAAATAATAGTGCGAGATACACAGATAGAAGGTACAGACAGAACGCTCGCACGGTTCTTACTCAGACTGATAACGTGGATCAAAACTCGAGGGCCAATCTAGTGGACTCCAGAAATTCGGAGTCGCGGAGTAATTATGGTAGTAACAATGATTTTGACATGTCCGTTAACGGGGCTTCCGTGAGGAGAGAAAGAATATCTACGTTAATTCGCGAAGAGTTGGTAGCTGAAGAGAATAACGACACGCCCGATTGCGACGAACTGTCCACTCACCTCGTAACTTCCAACGTTCGTCATATGGGTACAGGAGGTATTTTTCATCCTCTTATATACCAACATCTGATCCCCGATGTCCACGCTAATGTTGGTTCAAGCGTTACCTGCAATGCAGCGCAATCAGAGCATAATTTGGATTCCACTCCCGAATCAGAGGCAGTCATGCAGTTGGACAACGCCTACGTAGAGAATTTTAATGCTACTATTAATAATGGTTTAAGCAGAATACGGAACCTCATTGATATAGATACTCTTCCATCCAGCGAGGGTGGAGGTCCGTTAGGAAGTCGAGACTTAATGGATATTTCTGAGGGACATATCGAAGCTTTTAGACTTACACCCTCTGGTGTGTCGGAGAACGTTGATAGAAATATCGACGTGACTCTTGTTCGTAAACCCAGCAATGACGACTTAATGGCAAGCAATAGCGCGGAGTCGACTAGTACGATCTCTCCGGATAAATCCTCCGCTCGACGAACTGTCGACGTTGATGACGACAGATCTTTGACCTCTTCGGAATCCTCAGTTTCCGGAGTATCAAGACAAGCTCCTGATGGAGGTAATCCTGCGGAAGAAACAGGAAAGGTGCAACTAAAGACTCGAGTTCAGGATTCTCAAGATTCTACCACGGACAGTTAATAGCATTACAATCTTTTTAATTTGATGCCTAAAAAGGATCAATGTGTATCTCAGTAATTTTTATGAGGATAGGAACTGATTCCAAACTTAAATGAAAGTTCTTCATCCTGATAATTATTGTTTAGACAGACAGTCCAAACGAAAGCCTCTCTTTTACAAATGTATTGTTCAGTGAACTTAAGGGCTTTCAGATTTAAATTATACAAGCAATTCATTCGCGTTGTATTATGACTTGCAATTTATACTTTATGAAAAGGACTTTAAATACATCGTCTGGTGAGACTAACCGATTTCTCTATACGAAAAGCTAGAAGGAAGTTTTTTACAAAGCTCTTTTTTTAAGTATCGTTCAACTTGGGCACACTAACGGTGATGCTATTTTCATTAAGTGTGCTACGTCGGTTTGCCGTCGTAACTTGAAGGAGCAAATTGCATATTCCGTGTAACAGGAATATCCGCTTGTTGATTTCAGAGTTATGCGGTAACAATAATCGACACCGTCAATTTGAAACAATTTTCATAAATGACTAAAATTGTACGTAAAATTGTCAAGTGAATCTCAAACGATATAAACAATTTGATAGCGGAATTGGAAGAAACTTAATTGCAGTTCTTAAAAAACGGAACATGAATCGACAAATGTTTACAGTTCTTTTTTATACACAGTGCACGACTGCGCCGAGAAGGCATTCAGCCAGAAAATGCTGATTTAAGAGGGGTCAAAAGTAACATTTTACTACCTAAAATTTTTAACTCTTAAGTTAAATTAGGAAAAAGTCTCGAGCCCCTTTCATTTTATTATCTCGGAACATGCGTCAAAGTGTTCTTTCTCTGACGACTGAATACCGTGTATACGTAATAACGATATCCGAAAAATCAATATAACTACACAGATACTATTCTATCGATCTAGTTTCCTAAGTACACTACATTGTTTTACGCATTTACAGCGCGATGCGATCAGCGATATTTTTATATAATCTTTTCTGTACATAGCGCTCGACTAGAAATATTGTAGATGTAGAATATTACTGGACATACACATACCGATATTCGACGATAAAATAAATCTGTACGCCATGAATAAAATCAAAACACATTCGATGTACCTTTTAATAGCCTAACAGTTTCTTTATTGAAAACTTTTATACCGTGTATTGGTAATAATATTTCTATATAAATCTCAACAATCACCAGATTAAATATACCAGGTTCAAATAATACTGCAATGTTTGTGTGCGGGGCATCTAATGACGATATCGATAATCCCACACATGAACGGCTTCTATCATTAGGATATTTAATCTCGCACGTATGTAGATAAATACGCCTCTCTATACATCCATTGTTTGATAGCTCGCGGATTCATCAACCATACCTTAGCATCCGTGCCCTCGTGAGAGTGAATATCGGAGCAATCTCGTAATTTCTAAAAGAAACCGAAATTAATTAATTGTTTTTACGCAAAACACGAAGTTTTCATTATTTGTATACCTAAAGTATGAAAAGGGAGACTTTAACTGTTCCTTCTATAATTTTATAAAAATCACTTGGAGTCTAAGTTTTTTTTTCCTTACATGGAAAAACTTCAATTCTTCCTTGGTGTACTTTGTTCGTTGTTGCCGTTCCTTCATCATGCATATTTTGCATAAAAATAATGTATTATTCCAATGCCAATAATCACCGGTGGGCTTTTCGCCACACAAACTGCAAACATCGGTATTTCGCTTGCAACATTTGAGTTCCACTGCGAGCCGTAGCTTTCGTTTCCCTCCGAAGCTATTATCGAATATGATGTTGCGTTTGCCATAGTTTGTGTACATTCCAGGCCTACAGTATTATTGCTCAATGAGTCTATTTGTTAAATATACTATCGCTAATATTCTTGTCTTTTTCCTCATATAACCGTTAGAGGAAGACATCTACATCCGTTAACTTAAATATTATTTTACGTGGAAATGTGAAAGTGGAAAGTGGAATATTATTTTACGTGGAAAGTTAAAGTTCTGTTATAACTTGACACTTTCCACGTAACTACCATCTTAAGACAGTAAGTATATTCCAGAAAAAAAGGAATATAATAATCACATTAATAAAAAACATTAGTTGAGTTCTTATTTAGCACCGTATTGAAATGGTATAACTAAAAAAAGTCTTTTATGTATATTTCATAGCCTACCCTGGATTGGTATCCGTTAAGAATGGCTTTCTTCTTGCAGTAGAAGCAAAAGGATACTTCAGTTCCTTGCATTTTGCAGGAAAACTATCTATAGTGTAGTTGGCTGGTCCCGGAGAATCTTCAATGTTCTGCACTTTACTGGCGAATCTTGCCAGACCACTGTATCCATTTCTACTAAAACTGCTATGACACGGCTGAAAAACGTCACATATAATTTCTTATGATCAACTAAATATAAAATGAGATTAATTGATAACAGAAAATACTATTCAGCCTGTTTCGTCGTAATGATTTCTGACATAGTTAGGTATCCATTACCTGCGTGAATTACATTAAAATATTGCAAGTTTCGATTTCTATCATTCGATTCTGCATAGTAGTTGATTTATCAGGCTACTGGATAATAGAGCAATAATGTAGAAAGAGATAGAGGGAGAGAGAGAAAAGGGACGAGCGAGAAAGAGAGAAAACATCCAACCATATCGATGATACATTACTTTCAAGCATTTCTAATTGAGTCTGCTTAAGACGTAGCAAGATACACCTTGGATGTGACAGCCTTGAAGGATTTCGCGGCTTCGTATTTGCACGGCGAGATGTCAGGATATTCCTCGAGGACGTGCTGCCTCATAAAAGGACTCATGCCTTTTCTCGTCGAAGTGTCGCGAGGCAATGTGCAGCCGAAACATATCCTTTGTTGTTCTTGTTTCTTTACGACATATTCAAAGTCTGTAACAAAAATTCAGAGGATGTACCGTAAAATAAATAAACACAGTCACATGTAACCAAAATCCTCGTAGTTCCTTCGATGATAAATGAAAAGCCTGGATAAGTGATTATTTTAAACGGTAGAATTTGTTTTCTGAACGGTCCCATATTACTTTCACTTTTTAATCGTTTATTAGAATGTACTATTTAAATTAATTATGTCCTACATTGTTCCAATTAGATTCGCTGTTATCCTTTTAGTGTAGAGAAATATTTCATAACTTGTATTATTGTTTATAAGATGTTTCGGGCTGTTTTCTTTATAAATATTTTATGATAGCGAACAGTTTGCGTGAAAGAGTCGGGTGCTCTGTCTATTACGAACGATACGATATAGTATACGCTGTGACAATATATTGGATCGCGTGGACGAAATTATGCTTACGGAACATGCATATGAGCGGCGTATTTCACGTACCGTCACGACATACCCACATTACTCCAGTTAATTATTGCAACATGTCCGTTAACTGTACAGGGACCTCGATATGGTCTATTAGGACTCGTGATTACTATGGCAACCCACGATAGCCTTCCTTATAAGTTGCAGATTATTGACGGAACGAGCCATATCGTTTCTGCGGATCGTAATGCGGAAACGAAAGCAATTTAAATAGTTTAAAGCTGTCGTTACAATTTACATGATTATTCTTTGATAATATCTCTCAAGTTTATTTTTCAAATTCAAAGGAAAATAACCTGTATAAATGAAAATTGTGGACTGTGCCATACACGTGCATATGTATACGTTACAGAGAATTCTCTTGATTATTAAAATACGTTCATGTAAAAATCAGGTCATACTCTTTCCATATAGTTATCTATTCATATGAGGAAATTAAATAGTTAGCACTATACATATGAAAATATACCAGAAAATCAGAAGTATACCTTCCATCTCGCTAAAAGCTTTCACCACGTCTCAGATTACTCAGGATCTTAAAAATGATTGCATGCCCCAAGATCTCGTAAACCCTTCGAAACGTCATTAATCATCGTTAACCAGTAAATTAATCCAAAACACTCCTCCATAACCACAAACATTCGAAGCTCAAGGAATCAAAAAAATTGAATCACGCCGCCATCTTCGCGTTTATTTCACGATGCTTATTGTTTAATAGACCGTCTCATGACTTGAGTATTAATTATAAAATATCCTCCCCTTATGTCAGTTTTACAAGTACGTATTACTTTTCTTCAACATTTCCATAATTAATAAAATGGTCAGTCTCCGTTTATAAATTTACTTTAAAAAATATCCACTTCTTACATTAGAATTCAGTCCAGGTCGTACATACTTTACTGACCTGTTCAAATTTTGCGTCAAGCCTGGTGCCATCTGCCGTGCGTCTGCGCGGATCCGCGGAAAGGCGGTCGGCCGCGCGCTTTTGTTCAAAATAACAACTAAACCGCTCGATACAACTTCATTTCCGCGCCAAATCATATGTAATCTCAATTGAGATAGATAAAATAATTTTCAAAAGATTTATTTTATCCATGAATTTGCATGTCTCTTGCCAGTTTGCTACAAAAGTCACGGGAAGCTCCGTAGAGTGAGTGTCTTGACTAGTGCGTACCAGAGCTTCGGCAGGTCGATGGTTTTGGCCACGGTCGCTGTGGTCGCGCGTACCGACGGTTGCCGACGCGACGGTCCGTCCGCGGCCGTCTTCGCTTCGCGATGTGTCCGCCGCCGCCGCTGCCGCGCCGATGTGTGTTTCTGCACATGGCCGTGCCGCCCGACGGGCCTTTACGTCGCTCAGTGCAGTCCCGCACTTTTTCACCGGTAAATCGAGCCTTTTGGCCAATTTTTCACGCGAAACAAAGCCGCGAGCTCGTAACGAGCGGTAGAAACGTTAATTTGGCCCCGCTGAAGAAGTTAAACCTCCGAGACGAGTCCTCAAAAATATCAGATTACGCTGAGACCACCTCGGCGAGGGGCCAGAGGCCGCGCCGAGTCCTGCGTGTCCTCGATCTCGGTGGCCCTGCATCCGTTGAGATGTTTCAGCTAGTCGGTGTATTTGTTGGAGCTAAGACTCTACTCGGAAACTTACCGAATATCTTCGATTTTAAAATTGACCGAGAGTTCGTGCCACTGATTATTCAGAACCTCTCAAGGACACCGTACAAACGAATCACGGCCAACTATATAGAGCAGTTAGTCTTGAAATCTCAGTAGTTTGGCGTAACTAGGTTGTGGATTAATTACTTAAATTCTCAGGATGATAAATCGACATTTAGTTAGTCTTTGATAGAATTGCAATCGACAGGAATGTAATGCAAGGACATCTCGATGGCAGTGCTTTATGTAATATTTTACGTTGCTTGTTATGTACAAATAGGATCTTAATCAAAAATTTGATACCATGGTTTTGGTTATTTTAATTGTAAACTTTATTTAGTACACTTGTCATTAACTGAGATGTTTTAGTTCAGCTTAATATTCAAAGTTAATGTTTCCTCAATTATGTTGCTTTACTTCTATAAAGTGTCTGAAATTTATCAGGTTTCTTCTTAATGAGAATTTTTTCAATTCTTCCCATAGACCTTTTTTTACTGACATTCATATGGAGATTTTCACTGATCTGAAATGTTGGCAAGTGTGAATGCTTCTTAAATAAAATACAAGTGTTAATTTATTTATTTATCACGGTGAGATCGGTCAAGTATATTCTGTTACTGTGATTCTCAAGAAATATTACAGTATTCCGATATACAATATTAATCTGTGTGCATTTTTATTAATGCAGTTTCAATTATAGTTAGATCAATTTGAATCAAATGTTCTCGTTTCCGTTTGACAGAGGTTTTAGGTGATAACAGAGTTGTAATATTGTTTCTGATCGTCGATATGATACCTCAACTATTATTCAACTAATGAATTTCCTGTTTAATCTAAAGGAAGGCAAGCTGTTTAAATCTGCATTTTTTTTAACAAATGCATAACGATATTTTTTCGGTTTTTGTATTGCTTTAAACAAATATTTCTTGCATTTTTTTATCAGTTCTTTGTGTGAATTCGTGTATATTTATTACTTTCAGATAAATTATATTATATATTGCATCCACCATGACTACATCATCAGAAGATGTGCTGATGCAAGTAGGACAGGTCCGGTACAAGAAAGGCGACGGTACATTATACGTAATGAACGAACGAATAGCTTGGATGTTCGATAACAGGGATACCGTAGCTGTCAGCCACAAATATGCTGACATTAAATGTAAGACTTCATTCAGTTCTGTAATTGACAAGATGTAATAAAGTTTTTACGTGGAATAATCGTGTGACAGTATATCCATTGTCTTAATCACAAGTGATTTGTTGAGAGCTGTGTTTGTACTCTTGTCAAAAGATTATAAGTATACAAAATTTAAACTTTGCTATTTACAATTACTGTTCTTTATGCATTTTGCGTACCTCAAATTTTCAATCTAATGTTTATTGTAATGTTTTAGTACAAAAGATATCACCTGAAGGAAAATCAAAAATACAGTTACAACTAGTACTACATGATGGCTCTTCTTCAACTTTCCACTTTGTAAACAGGAACGGACAAGAAGCACAGATTAAGGACCGTGATGATGTTAAAGAATTGTTGCAGCAACTTCTACCTAAATTCAAAAGGAAAGTTAATAAAGAGTTGGAAGAGAAGAACAGGTATGATAAATTGGAAAATCATTATTTTTAGAAGGTCGATTACGATGTTAATAATCGCTACATATTGTTCAGGATGCTTCAAGAAAATCCTGGTCTTCTGCAGCTTTACCGTGACCTGGTTATAACACAGGTTGTCTCCTCGGAAGAATTTTGGGCTCAACATGCTGCAGAGTATACTCAAGCAAAGAAAAGTCAACGTCAGGAAATTGGTGTTAATAGTGCCTTTCTCGTAAGTCATTGCAATATTATAAAAAAGTGTTGCAGTGTTTTGTATTACTGATTTGACAAGAATGTTTAACATTAATGAACACTGCCATTATATTATCATTAACGCTATCAAAAAATCATTTCAGGCTGACATCAAACCGCAGACTGATGGTTGCAATGGACTGAAGTATAACCTTACCGTCGACATAATAGAATGTATATTCAAGACTTATCCTGCTGTTAAGAGAAAGCATCAAGAAAATGTGCCTCACAAAATGTCGGAGTCCGATTTCTGGACAAAGTTTTTTCAGTCGCACTATTTTCATCGTGACCGCATCAATACAGGGACCAAGGATCTATTTACCGAATGTGCCAAAATAGATGATCAGGAGCTCAAGAAGGACATTCAGACTGGAATCAATGATCCTCTGGTAGACATAAGTTCCTTTGAGGATAAGACGCTAGACGAGAACTATGGATCTGGAGTAGGAAAGGCTGATAAGCCTTCAGGAAATATAGTGCATCAAAGTATGATTAAGAGATTCAATCAACACAGCATTATGGTCCTTAAAGCTAGCACTGCCAAACCACCTGTGCCACCTTCCCAACTGCAGTTAAATGGTTCATCGCCATCTGCGAGTAAGACACCAGGAACCCACCAGTCAAATGATCAACCAAAGACTAAAAAAGTAAGAAAATATAATATAATAATAATGGTAATGTTTAATATTAATTACCCTTGGTTTTAAAATTATAAATATAATATATTTCTTTACACATTTTGTGAATACTGAAATAACTATCGATGTTACAGCTTAGAATACAGGAGAAGCTAGTGTACGACGATTTGGATGCCAGCCGTGATGTGAACGCAAACGCTGGCGTGCCACTTAACCTTTCTCACATTGACAGATACTTGCACGGACCTGTGCCAGGAAGTGGTAATGTCGAGGTGACAGTCGATGAGTTTCATGCAACATTGAACCAAGTCAGGAGAGAAGCGGCTAACTGGACAACTGGTGCCAATTTGCCAAGACAAGCAGCCACATCGTTGGTTAGTCCAGCTGCCGCTGTGTCAGCGTTAGGGGAATTAACACCTGGTGGAGCTTTAATGAAAGGCTTTCGAGAAGACAGCCTTGGTCGTAAGTTAAATACAGAAGTTTTTTTCTTTCTTTAAAACTAATATGTTTCTTTTTCTCCTTTTCACTTAGCCGTTTAATGTATTTTTATAGAATTAATACCAAAGGATCTCGAAAAGGAACTACGTAATGTTTATGTCTGTACATGCGAATTGTTAAGGCATTTTTGGAAAAGCTTTCCTCCAACTACCCCTCAGCTGGAGGAGAAGGCTGTTCGAATGCACGAAGCCTTGCACAGGTTTCATTCAGCTAAACTTAAACCATTTGAGGTAATTCTTTAAGGATACTTTGATTTCAACATTAAGAGTATAATATATTAAAGAAATATTTTGTGTAGGACCGAGTTCAAAGGGAATTCTCAGCCGTCAGTCAACACTTGACGAGTCATTTAAATCAGCTGCTTAATACCGCCTACAGGAAGTTCGCGGTTTGGCAGCAGCGAAAGATGCAGATGAGGTAGCCAACGTTCAACCTGTCTTAGAGTCGTGAAGCAAGTATATTGATGAAAATAAACGGAGCAATATTGAAGATACTGAAGAATATTGCGTTTTGAAGTGTTACCGTAATTAGGTGTCAAGATACGTGGGTGTCATTTCGCCAAAGCCAAAGTCGGGTTACACAGACAATTGCACCCCCGAATGCTGCTGTATCAATTGCTTATTTATTATTTAGCCTGTATTCTTGATCGTGGATCCCGATCGGTTTTGGACTTGTCTCTGTGATTTGTGATCACAACTGAACTCATTCAAGATGCTGTATACTTTTACATAAGGACAGTTTTAGTAGTTTATTTATTGTTCAGTTCCTTAAGGATCTTTGTCTTTGGACGTTTTTGTACGAACTCACTCGGCCAGGTTAAGAATGGAGATGACAGTTAATGTGTAGAGAAAAAAAAAGAAGTTACAATCCATCCTAAGTCCACGGAATGGTGTAGACTTATTGGAAAGGTTGTTCTATATTTTCTTACGGAATCGGCCCACCATTGTTCATAATATTGTTCGTTTAAGATGATTACTAAGAGTAGATGTGGAACTCGGATCACCGTTAGAGGATGCATCGATGTGATGTGCTTGATCGTCTCACGGTACTGACATAGCTGTGATAACATCACCGTACAAATTAAATCACAAAATGTTTGTCTTCATTTCATTAGTTTCCTCTTGTGATGCTTGGTTGTTGCATAAGTTTGAAACATTTAAACCGAAATAATTTGTAACATTATTCACATTTAGAGTCCAGGGTCACTTGTCTTTTGGAAATATGTTTTTCCTGCAACTAGTATATTTCTTTTTATACATTCATATTTTAATTCCATTTTATTCTTCACGAGTAACCTTTGTCTTCGCCGTTTTGGTATGGTTTTGATGTGGCAAACCTAGTGATATTTTTTTCCTTTACCAGTGAATTTTTAACATTCACTAACTTATGACAAAAGTAATAATTTTGAGGATCGAGCATGTTGCTAATTCATTAAAGAGAAGAAAAATTAAGGGAGTACCAGAGATAGGATACGTAACGTCCTTAGTGGACCTTCATAGATAAATGAGCTTTGTGCCATTGAAATTCAGAAGAAACGAAACTTCAGAAAAGTACATCCTTGCAACTCATCGTTCATGGCTCTTCATCCCGCGACATACTCGAACCAAGTGTCTTAATTATTGGATCCTACTTCATATCAGCCTCGTAAGTACGAATACCGGAGATTTTCCTGCTCCCTCGTCCGCGTCCCACCTATACTAGATACTGGCAATAACTCTTCTTGCAGTTAATAAAATTACCCTAGACGCGTATTCTAAGTAATAATCTAATCGATAGGGAATTTATCATAATCATCAGTTATATTATTATTACTGCTATTATAAATATATTCTTACATTATTATTATTGCAATAAATGTTATTATTGTCGAGAAAGTGTTAATGCCGTTAACTTTCATGGAAACCTCCTGTTAATCGATACCACGATATGTATTTAACGCTTAAAATATTTGTAGAAAGGGAGGCCGTTTTCCCTCTCTTTGGGCTCACAATAACAGGTAGGTAATAACTATAGCAGTCCCTCGTGCACTCTCCTGTCTTACGTCCCGCGTGGACCGGCACGTCCATAATAGATACCGACCAACTTGTATAAAATTGACCTTGACCAGCACCGGTGTGTGTCACGTTTTACCTGTTTGTGCCGGCACGCGGTCGACGCTGAAAAAATCTCATCCACGATGCACCTGCCTAATCTGGCACCACCGCACTCCTCGGTGGGATACCAGGTTGTCTCTCTCTCACGTATATTGCCACAAGTGCGACAAGGATGCACTCTTGTGAAAAGCATCGCGGACTCCAGACTGCGCGCCGGGGACCACGCCGCGCCGGCTTGGTTAGACGACCTTCCACAAATAACTTGATCTGCCGCGACGAAGAAAAACCGGTGGGTGGTGGTGGTGGGGGTAACGCGTGACGGCGCCGGTGTCGATGGGGTGAGGGTTTGCGTACAATGCCGTGGGCGGATTCGAGGGGCCCCGGAATTACACCCTCTGTCAGTCGCTACATCTCTTTTGTATTTCTATTTTTTTATCAAACGATTTCAGGCACCGAGCGGATCTGCCGATTTTATTGCGTGGCGGGTTTACCGCTACAGAGGAAATCGGAAAACGGCTAATGTGCGTTGCATGGATATTGCACGATCCTCGAGAAATTCACGGAAAGTCAAACTCGTGCTTCGCAAGGGTGGGAACGACGCGACGGGGCGACGCGTTGTTTTATATAGAGATCAACAGGTTGTATTTACACGGGCTGGGCAGAGAATCTTGGAACTTCACCCATGTCAGTCTATTTAATTTTTTTTTTTAATTCGAATATTTAGACACACTGCAAAATGAGTGATCTGGGTTTACTGACACTTTAAAGTAAGTTAACAGAAGAACAAATAAAAGTTAATACGTGCCCAAAATAATGTAATCCCTCTTTTCGGGGACTAAATGAAAGATGTTTGTCCTTATTTTTGTTTCCATCCAAAAATAAATACAAGGTGGAGTCGTGATTCTTGACAAGTGTTTCGTTTGAATGGTAAAGTCCCATATTTATTCAAATCGTACGATTTCGTAATTCAAGAAATAACCCTTTTTTCTTGTTCCAAATATCTGTGAAAGTGTTAAACAATTCTTTATATCTCTGATTTTGAAAAACACCGAGAAACGAAGATGTCGACAAAGTTACGTGCCTAACTTTCATGCCCTCTCCAATTTTCACATTGTTTACTGCCATCGGGTTCATATGGATCCCGATAATAAAATGTGCAAATTCGTTTATATAATTAATATTTAATGAATAACAACAGCAAAGAAGTATGAGAGAAAGAAGTACAACAGAATAGAAAATCGATTCGGATCTAAATGGACCCAAAGTTGTGAAGGTTAAATATCAGAATAAAACTATTTAGAAATTCGACAATGTTGAGATTTTTACCTGTAATTCCGAAACAGGCCCAGAAATAAAACTGTATCAAGGATGCGTCGGTTTGATCGTGGTCCCGTGGGGATTCAGGTGGAATCAGGGCACAGCGCGACCCTGGAGCAGCGTGGGTGGGAGTGGAGGGGGATCGGCGAAGCGCTTTCCCCTTCATTGTTTGAAAAATCCCGCCTCTTCCCCGAGGCGAATCGATAGATGGCGCGCTCTATTGTTGACTCGAATCAAGATGGCGGCGCGTAATGGCACTCCGGAGCGAGATCGTTCGCGGTTCCGCGGCTGATTGATGGACCGCGCGACGTTGATTCGCCGCGGCGTAGGTGCAAGAGGGACGACCGTCACGTCCAGGAGATGCGTGCCTAGAGGACGACTCGGAATCCGGGAGCAATGTGAACCAGGACGGCGCGCCGTCGTCGTGTAACACGAGCGGTGCCGAGTGCCAAGTGCCGAGCGCTTGCCTCGCGAAAATCAGCGGTATCGTGCACACACCTTTATCTTGTATTATTTCCGGTGAGACGTCGTTCCCACCTGGAGAACGTCGGCGTCCGGAGGAAGCCCCGGCGCCCAGGACGCTTCTTCGTGACGCCCAGGTCAAGCGCGCCTTTCTCGAAATTCGCATTTCCAACTTCGTTGACAGTTCCTGCAACCAAGTGGCGAGACGCGGCTGCTCGCGAGTTTCGACATCTTCAGCGTTTTGTGGTTCCGGATCCACGACGATCGGTCACCACGCGGGCTGTCTTCGGGGAGACATCAGGTTACTCTGGAGGACATCGCAAAGAATCGCAATACTCAACGTGTTAAGTAAAGAGTGACCTTGCAACGTTGCTGGCAAAGATCTCGACGTGCAACCTCCTAGTAGCATTCCTGGGCTCCACACGCGCCGGATTAGTGCGGGAAAAATGGAAAATGAGATGCCGAAGGTGAACACCATGGTCGTATTGGTATCTTTACGCTCCATCCTAAAGGCTGTCAGTAACTGATAGCGAGCACATGGAGTAACAGCCTCATAGTAGGCTTTCATTAATTATGTTACTTGAGATCCGAGGATGATCGATTTGAAAGGATTTGTCGGAGGATAGGCGAAGAGAAGTACTTTCTGGATTGGGATGCACAGAATTGAACTAGGGTGATATCGAGAGAAACGTCCCCAGGAGGGTGAAATGTTGAAATTAGGTATGAATTTGCGTTTCAGAGTATTATATTTAGGAAAATGTCATTTAGTATTTGTTTTGATAGTGGGTATTTATCAATGATAAGTACATTGAGGCAATTATAAGGATGTATCTGTCAAACTATTTGTGAAATGTTCCAATGTGTTCACTATATTAAAATATATGAATAAATTAATTTTCAGAAAACAATGGAACATCCAAATTGGAGGGAAGCATAATGATCGTAGAGAGCGTCGATGTAGAGTCGTGTCTTAGAAGATAGCCTTGAAAGGCGTTTCCATGCTTGTTTGTGATGGAAACTTATTGAAACACCATATTATGATTGTGTCTACACATGATCCGCATTATACGGATCTGCTGAGGTAGGCACTTCGGTGCCCCTGATAAGTGATCTCGATGGATCCCGTTGGTCCATGGTATGCTTCGTACAACCGTCTGGCTGCGGGAGGTACTGCGAGTACGTTTCAAGCCACTACATCGAGTACAACCACTGACTTTGTGTCCCATCACTTAGCTTCGGCAGCCACTCAAGCCGTTCCTTCGACAACGACGTCGCAGCTGCTTTTGCAAGCGGCTCATACGACCGCTACCCTGGCAGGCCAGCCTTCACCGTTTAATCCAGGAGGATTTTTATCACCGCCACCTGTGGGATATGACGTCTTCTCTCCCTTATTTCACCACCCTAATCCGAAACAAGCACATTATGTCACTCAACACAGACAGGCTCTGGCTCAAGCTCAAGTGGTCGGGGGAACGAAACAGAGCCCAGTTCCTGACTCTGACATAACAACGTTGAGAGAAAATTATAGTACAGCACATCAACCGACCTTCTTTGAACACCAAGCTCCAGCATCATCTCCAACAGCTTCCACGCTCGCTTGGACCCACCAGAACAACTCACAGCTTCCAAGTCCCTTTGGCATTTTACCTCATGAAAGCGTTGTCCCCTCGTCACCTGCACCACCGTCGACAAAAGCTAGCAATGCCGTTTACGAAAATACATTCAACGCTCACTTTGCTGCAGCTCAGACATTGAACAATCTCAATTCGCAGCTATCATCTCCCAACGTCACAGTTGCAGAATTCAAGCCCACAAGTTACTCCGACACAAAAAAAACTGTGAACGTGCGACCTCAGTCTCCCGCAGTTACTGCGAAGGTAGTAGTGTCCACGTCTCCTGGCACCGGGAGCCAAACATTCTTCCAACCCACTACCTTCAGCTCCGAAACCCTAACCGACAACTATCCTACGGGCAACGGGAATCAAACGTCGAATGGAAAGGTGCAGGCAGCGATCCAGCATCAGCAATCCTGTATTGTCTCAACGCCTAGCAATGTGCAGGGTAAGGAGTACAGGATTCCCCAGCCTTCAACGAGGTCGAGCGCTCCGGCTTCCATTTTTCTCAACGCTAACAGTCCGGTCAGGTCGGCTCCGCAGGTACAGGACAAGCAGGCCACTCGGAACAGCGGTTTTGCTTCGCCAACTGGTAAAGGTAATACCTCGCAGCAGGCCGTTCAAACGAAGGCGCAGGCGAAGGTCTATCCTGAGTTAAACGCCCACAACGAGCACAGGAGAACGGAACAAAGTGGCCACGAGAACAGCCAATCCTCGCCCATCAGCTTTTCTATCATGGATTCTCGAACTATGAGCTATGGCACGGCGAACAATACCAATTGCCCTACCGCTAACGGCAAGTTACCCAACAATCAGAGGACACCCCCAACTAACAGTTTGCAAACCCACCCTCAGCAGCAACAACAACAACAACAGCAACAGCAGCAGTTTCACGTGATGAATCAACAGGCTGCGACGACCTATAGACATTATTCGACAGGCTCCACCAGCGATTCGGAGTATCACCACCCTGGGAGGTCGAAGTCCTCGGCGTCGACAGATTCCGCGTACTCGTCCAACAACTCGACTCAGAACGGACCGGACTGCAGCGTCGTTGTGCCCAGGAGGCCGAGTCCCCTGCAAGCGCACTCGCAAGCGAGTCCTCTGGGCCATGTACCCAGTCCGGCCTATCCGATGTACAACAGCCCAATGGCGACCCTGTCATCGCCATCGCCACTGCAGCAACACGGCGAGAACGGTGGTAACCAATGCGCCAGCGGTCCTCAATATAAGACGGCAGCCCAGCAACAGGTGACTCCACCGTCCCCGTTGGATGTGACCGTCCCCAGGCCTGCGTCCCAGGGTCAGGTGGCCTACTCATCGGTAATAACCCGGGCACTGGGCACAGCCGAGAGCAACAAGGCGACTTACAACACGGAGACCCGGAACTACGACCGGCAGCAAGAGTTGACCCAATCTCAGAAACAGCAGCAACAGCAGCAGCAACAGCAGCAGCAACAGCAGCAGCAACAGCACCAACAGGTCTGCTGGGAAGGCGACAATAGGCAGACCAATGCCTCCAGAAAATTCTCCGTGGCGACGTATGCCGTGACGAATCCTGACCTGAGTCATCCGCAGAACCTTCCCGGCCAGCAACAGGCTCAACGGGTGCTGAACATAACAGAGAGACAGCAAGCGTATTTCGATTCCAACCAGGTAACTCTCCAGGATCTGAGTAGCTGCAGGGGCGACCCCATGAGTATCGTGAAGAACCTGCAGACTCTGCAGCAGGGCTCCTGCCAGGTGCAACAACAGCAGCAATCGGTGGCGGCTGGCGAGCAACAGAAGCAGGTCGAGGAGAGGCGCAAGGCCGACAGCGTAGCAGTCGGCAGGAAGAGGAAAAGCTTCGAGAAAACTTCGCCTGGACACGGACCCTCGTCGCTGAACGACCTCGGAGGTGCAGCCGCCATGACCGAGTATCTTGGCAGGATACCGCCACCCGCGCATCACAACGCCGCCAACCAACAACAGCAGAACGGTTACTTCGACTTCGAGCGGTGGAACATACCGCCGCCCCCCTCGAAAATGTTCGGCTCCCAATCGGGTCTCCATCACGCCGGCAACTTCGTCGGCGGTCCCGCTCATCAGCATCAACCGTTGATGGTACCGCATCATCACGCACCTCCGCCGATCCCGTACTTCCCGGCGTTCCACATACCGCCCGGTCATCAACCTCATCATCCTCACGAGTTCCAGACCTCGGTGGAGATCGCGCCGGTGGGACTTGCCGAAGGGCCCCCAAGCCAGACGCCTGGCTACGGCCAGGAGATCAGGGACGACCACCGGCCCAAGGTTATCGTGCCCAATATCGAGGAGGAGTTGGGCTTCTTGCAGCAGGCGCCGCAGCCCGCGGAGCCCCCTAACATGGTCGGCCGCGATCTGAAGCGGAGGGACCCCAACTCGGGGTTCATGACGAGCTACCTCAAGTTCCTGCAGGGTGAGCGGGAGCCCTCGCCTCCGCCCGCGATCAGGGGCGGCAGGAAGGCGACCTGGAGCCGATCAAGACCCTATGTCTCGGTGACGGAGGCTTCGAGTAATCCAGAGGCCACTGCCAACGGAGACACTAATAGGCCTCGGGTCGAGAAACCACCGCCGCCTCCCAAGGAGACCCCGGTGATAGATTACGCCAACGATCCCAGATATTTTCCCCTGCCCAAGGAGAGGAAGAAGCGGAACTTCGACTCCAGCGACGATGGCTTTACCAGTGACGATGATTTTCCCTTTCCTCTGAAAAGGAACGAGAAGAAGACCCCTAGTGCTAGTGTTTCTGGTCAGGCCGACCCCGTGGCTCCCAAGGCCGAGGCGAAACCCAGAAAGGGGAGGCCTGTTAAGCCAGGAGGTCCCACGGACAGGAAGCGAAAGGCCGCCGCGGCCGCTGCAGCCGCTGCGGCTGCTGCGGAAGCCGCTTCCGAGAAGACTGCTGGAAAGGATCGAGATATCTCGGGGAAGGGCTCGAAGAAAGTCGAAGAAGGTATTTGATTATTCTTTCCGTCGGGACTAAGGGCCCATTGCCCCAACTTTTGCGTTGACATCCTTAATGAAGGATTACTCAACGCGTTGTTAGTCACCCGACATCCGACGATTATTTAACAGCGAATTCTAATCTTCGGTTAGCTTTATTTTTAACGGTGGAACACGAATTTCACCTATTCGAGATTAACTAATCGTAGATAAGAAATTTAACGCTTATCACAGTTGGTGCAACCCAATTGTTTAACTGACCCTGATGTCCCTAATGATTTAACTGATCTTGATGTTAATCCAAAGTAATTATAACGGTTTTTTATCATGTTGCTAATGTTCATGACGGTTACAGTGGATCCTTTGTTGCTACCACCGAGGCGCGAAACCTCCAGAAGGAAAGCCAAGGAGAAGACGTCGGTGAAGCAGTTCCTGGATCGTCAACAGGGTATAGATTATTTTGATAACGACGAGGAACAGGGCGATTCTGACTCCGATCCTGCCTGGACCCCTGCGGCGAAATTGGTCGGTGACGAGGAAGAGAAGAGGAAAAAACGGGGTAGGCCAGTTATTACCAAGAGGTTCAGAAGGGTCGTCGACGAAGATGGTTACTCCTCGGGTGAAGTCCCACCCCCTAGGAAAACAATCAGGAAGAAACACGAATCGGCTTTAAAGAATTCCATTGCTTCCGTCAAAGCCTCGTCGAAGAACGACGAGAAGTCTCTGACTGCCGTAAGCGACGAGGACTTGGATATTTCCCCGTTCAAGGTGTGTTTTCGGAGGAAGTTCAGTAACCTTTAAATCGTAGGACAATCAAAGTATGAGAATGTTATTTACGAGTTCGCAATATTTATGTTAGCATTGCTTCTATATAATTCTTAATTTTTATTAATTTTTTTGCAGCGCGAGTGTCTAAACATCTGGCATTGGAGTTTGCATTCTCCGTTACCATAATTCAAAAAGCACAGTGTTTAGTGATTCGCAGAATTAACGTGTCTTCGTTGTTTTTCAGTCCGGGGAATTCGTTGTGATCAAAGCCGATCTGGAAGAAGAGTATCCTGCTCTTTGGAGGATAGACGGAAAGACGCTGCTCCAGAAGTACGAACCGTTCCATTCCAATGGGAGAACCCTATACAGAAACATATCTACGGTATTGCTCTTAACACTTTATTTAAATTGAAAACTACAAGGGAATAATTATCTAAAAAAGGTGTGGTTACTTGATGAATGTTAAACAGAAGATTTAGTGGATTTAAATTGGTACTTCGATCAGTATGTTTTGAGGCATGTAAAGGGACAGTATTTTATGTTCCGCAAAGTTATAACATTTTGATTTCTATTTTAACGTATTTGGATCGTTTTTCCCCTATAATTTTCATCCGATAAGATATTCTTTGAAATGATCGCATCTAATATTTGTCATTGTGCAATGCAGTACTCTGGCTGGGCACCTCAGAATCGACACATATATCAACAAGTACCCGTCAAGTTCTTGCAGCAAGGCAAAATAGAGACGATCGTCGAGTTTCTTCGCGACGAAATGATCGTCGATGACAGGTACATTGGATGATTCTTCGTACATTAATGTAATCGCACTTGTATTTTCGAGCATACGTGAACATTTATTTTCCTTTTCAGCGAATGCATCGAGAAGTCCATGAAAGATACCGAGAAATATCAGGATCATTTCGAGGTGTATATTCAGACATTGATCTCTCAGGCGTTGGACTCCAACTTTCTCACAGAAATATTCCAAGAACAAGGTGAGTACCAGTCGCTTCTTATTTTCTTGATTAACACATTGAATGCCGTGGGGGTCACCGGTGACCGGCAACCGCCTTGCGATAGTACACTCGTCATTTGTTTTGGCATTCAACGTGTTAAATATCCAGGGTATATCCAAATGTAAAAAGTAAATGCACCAGAAGAAGTCTTATCTCTTAGTTTAATTAAACGTATATGAAGTTATTGGTCTCCTAGTTATCTATTTTTAATTATATGTTTGATGGCAGACGACTACTTCCTGTCGAATGTAAGAACCGTTGATGAGGTGACGGAGGAGAGGAAACGGCGTCTTTTGTCGACAACCAAATGGCGCACAAATGTCATTACGGCAATATCCACGTGGCCTTGTTTAAACGTTCTGAAAGATCTGCCGCTGTCGGAATTAAAGGGGAAACAATGCGCTGGCTGTCAGCAGACGAAAATTCACGCGAGAGTCTTACTATATGGTCAGCCGTACAATGGTACGACATTGGAGGGCTCACCGCCTGATCCTAGAGTGCCTCAGGAAAAGGTAAAAGTCCGCCGTCTATCCGTTACTTTAAAAAATATAAACACACTTTGTATACATCGTTACTTTGTTCCAGGATTTCTTGTTGTGCCGGCTCTGCCAGACGAAGGTAACGTTATACAACAAGGTGGCACATCAAAAATACCTGATGTTTCTAGAATGTGCTCGAAGAGTAGCTGACAAGAGATTAACCGATCCTCACAAGGACACCACGATAATACTGAACGAGTTGCTGGCTGACGAGGCCTGGCTGAATCAGGTATTGATGTCCCGAACATTTGAGAGTGAATTTCAGAAAACTGTTACATATTTACAAGCGATGCGGCTTATTCAAGTTAAGCCAAGGAAAAGTAAAAACCCGGTTACAATCAGATTTGTTTTTGCAGTTGTTCAAGGAAGTCAGAGGAATCTGGGCGGAAATCGACAGCATGGAACAGCATGCGAGAGCAAAGCTGAATACCACATCGCTCAGCGCCATTTTCAACCAAACGAATGAGGCCAAGTTCAAGGGGCCTCCTACGAAAGCTACCGAGGAACCCGCCAATAACACCGAATTACCGATTCCTGTCAAAAATGCAGATACTGACCTTCAGGTGGCAGTTACCGGTGCTAAGGACGTTGCGCCTTCTTAGTGGCGTTACGAGGGCGGTATTCTGAATGATTGTCCCGAAATTGAGAGCGCTCGTTACTAACTTAGTGATGAAGCTGTAGATTTCAAAAACTCATAAAAAAGGAAGGAAATCGAAACGGGAGGAAATCGTTCACGAACGTGACGAGTTAAAAACTCGCACCGTGGATGATCTCGGCGTTCAAGAGTACGCGATCGCGATAGATCGAAGGACTTTCACAACGTGTAACTCGTAATGTGTAATACGAAAACTTTAGGCACACTCACAGTTTAGAAGGAACAGGACGTGTAGAAGTTAATGAGGAGAGCGGGAACCTCTCACAGTGGAACATATGTAACATACTCATCCGACGACGTTAACAGTTAGGATCATGCCCGACTTTTGCCATTACGAATAGAATACTTGTAACGAATAGTCGGTATCATCTGTGTGAATATAGACGTATAGTTGTAGTATTTGTAAGCTTGCCGATTCAGGAAGAGGGAACGCCGTGGTAAGATTCACTGCCTCCGAAGGGCTTTGGGTCGGTCTTAAAGAACGACGAAAAAGACGGTACATGCATGATCGGTCTGAATTCTGTGAAGCTCAAAATCTGGACAATGATGATACATCTTTAGACGATTTTATCGTTCAGAGGAAACGTCGGTGAAACTGCTAGAGCAAAAAAAAAATGATTCCTAGTTTCGTTTTTCTTAGAGACGCCCAAGACTTGAAACGCATCCTTAATTCTTAAAATCCTCAGTTCTTAAGAATGTGTATAAATTTTGAAAAATAATTCTTAAATTACTTTACAATAATAAGCAGAAGTATTTAACACGTTTCTAGGGTGATAGATAAGAATAGAATGAATATATCTTCTGCGAAGCACTTCAGCGAAACTAACGAAATCTGGTTCCTTTAGGTATTCCGAAAATTCAGTACAGAATAGCTTGGGGCATGGTTTGAAGTTTGGATATTTTACACATTCTTAAGAAGAACGGTTAAAAAATTAGGATTTGTTTCAGGAGTCGAGGTTTCGTGACTCGAGTGATTAATATTATTTCATCAATTTCAACTTCATTTATTTCGTCATTTTCACCGACGCCTTTCTTTAAGATGGGTTCTTGCGATCACGGAGTTGAGAACTGACCATAAGGCGAGTTTCAGATTTTCTCGGCATTGCGAATCGATTGCAACTGGATTCCTTTTCGTACAAAAAAGATTTAAAAGTGCCGAGAGAATCCTTAGAGTGATTTAGTGCAGATACTGCGCTGTTTCCATAATTTCTTATATGTAATTGCAATTTCATTTGAAAGTGCAAGCGTCACCTCTCGGTTTATTTAATTTGATTAATTGGCCTGCTTCGTCAATTAGTATTTGTCGCAATTATTTAAAATGAATCCAATGTCGGATTTCATGACGTCGATCACTCGTACATGGTTTCGCATTAAATTGCGATTAAGTTATTTTAACGTTCATTAATTGCAATGCTCATGCGTTTCTTTCGTCATCAGCGTTTAAACAAGTACTAAAACCTCCACTACCTTGACGATTCTATATTAATAAGACGGCATTGAAGGTATGGCACCTTACTCGCCTCTCAATTCTTAGGATCTTATTTGTTAGCATCACTGTAATTGTTTGAAAGCGAACGACGACTGTAAGCACTATTGCAGAAAACTTGAGCAAAACAACAAAAAACATGGAGTCATTGATTAAGTGATTTCTCGAGAGTACTGTATACAGTATTTTCGACGTGATATCTTCCCCTCAAGCCGTAGAGCCAATCGCGAGTTCCTTTCGTTTAATCTGCCACCGACATTGGAGTCTGATGACCTTACGATATTTTTGTTGCGCTGGAAAAGAATGTCGCATTAGTTTTTAAATATACCTTCCATAGTAGGATTTAGAGAACTAGGAACAGAGCGCCACTCGCTGACATTTTATTGTACATTCAACTACACATTTTAGGTGATATTATTATTAATTGCTATTAGTTATAATTCTCATGATTATTTGTTCAAGCCTTAAGCCGTTTAAGTTTTTAGTATATTTCCAGATTTGTTAGAGAGAGGAGGTGAAAAAAAAAGTAAGAGAGAGAGAGAGAGAGAGAGAGAGAGAGAGAGAGAGAGAGAGAATATCTTTAGAAATGAGCGGTGTGATATATGTGCGGCGCGAATGTATTTTTCGACGAGGATGTAACAAATTATATTTGTAAATTGTAAAGATATATTAACGAAGGATGACAGTGGGTGTGGCCACGAGGCTGGCTGGTGCATCTAGGCGAATTTCTTTCGTTATTGCGTTGCGACAAGCCGTTTCAATGGAAAGGATGAATGCTGCGCTAATTATTTTATTCTCACGGGAAATTCGTTCGTTTATTTATGGTAAATTATCGGAAGAAGGAGGATATTTTGGAGTAAAAAATGCGGGCATTTCAAATACTGGCATCGTGAAAATAAAGGAAGGAATACGCATTTCTGTGTGGGAGGCTTTCATTTAAGAAAATGTGCCATGCAATAGCTCGTCTCGCAATTGGCTGCCGTAACGTGTGAAGATTCGCTGGTCACTCCAATTTTTCATTTCCATCTTTTGCTCGGATTAGATTGGACTTGATTGGACTAGAATCCTCACGTTATTGTTTCCCTTTAGCTTCGAACGAAAAAGCGGTTTTTCCTGATACAGAATATCACATAATTAATTTTTCGAATTTTTTGTATGACTTCAATGCTGAAGTTTCAACTCGTTAGTTTTCCCAGTGAGTATATTTGTTTTTGTTTCTTTGTGTACTGTACATAAACGGATATGTTCCTTGATAATTTGTAAATATCTTCAGAATTTATTAATCAACGTAGAAATATTACGGCTGACTTGTCTGAAAAAAGATTTTTTTATTTTTTGACCAAGGCTGTATAGACGGCTCCGAAGAATTTCAAATCTTCCACACGAGTAGACCATCGTTTCTTCGGACGTAGGAGCCAGCTAAAAGAGCAACGCTTTTATCAACACTATTATGTAGATCGAAACTATTATTATTACTGTTATACTATTGTTTCCTTTTTAGAATACTAAGATAGAAGGAGGCAGAGAGAACCAATATGTTCAATTTTACATGTCCCATTCGATCCTGTCGTGCTCCCATTGCGACTATGCGGATTCTTCGTCGAGTAGTAACAAATCGCAGTATTTTCTGTTATTATCGCTGAAGGAGATGAAGGAAAGAAAAGATAAATATGTGAAGATATGATCAAAATATAAATATTATATTATATATAACGAAATATTACTGGCATAATTTATGTTTTTATTAATCATTTTTCAATAAAACACGAGAAACTTACGGAGCTGTTTAACAAAAACCTGTATTTAAGTGGTACTTAGGTAGATACTATTGTCTTTTTGGCACCCTGCGAGGTACATACGTATTTGAAAGGTAAGTTCCCGTTTGTTGCAAGTGATTATTTCGTGAGATTTCGAGGAGGGCATTTTTGAACTTCGTCGCGTAACGTAACTCGAACGTTTGAATTTTCGCGGGCTCGCGTGCGCAGTCGTAGGATGCTCCTGCGGCGGAGTCCGGTACGCATGCGCAGTGTTCGTCGCTCGCCCCTCGATGCGTGGTGATGCGCGGTCCAGTTTCCATTCCAGTTCGCGTTTGTTGCCCGTGAAGGATGCCTTCTGCCAACCCTAAACTAGAGAAACAGGCCTCCACGGAGGCCGTCGAACCCATACGCCAAGCGATTGTCGTGATCGAGCACAAGATACGGAACCTCGAGAAGCGGAAGGTAACCACCATTGCGCCCTAACCTCTCCGGGCGCCGGGTAAATCCGGCATCGAGCATCTGTCACTCGCGGCTTGCACCGTGTCCGCCATGTTCGTCGCGCCATGTGCTCTCGCGGGCGGAATATTTCTCAAATTCTCTGATTTTACCTTGTGGTCGGGGTTTCTCTGAAGAACTCGAGTTCGCGACGTTCGAACCGGGTTCTCGGGAAAATCGACCCTGGGATCGGTTGCAAGGCCTTTTGTTCACGAGGAAAGCCGCAAACGCGGTTTTGTATCATGGCGGCCGGTGCCTTGCCGCGAGGCGAAACGACTGAGTCGCGTCTCGGGTTTGGCGTTCTGTTGGGCCATACGACGTTTCCACTCTCGTTTCCAACGAGTTGAACACACCTAGGGATTTCTGAAAAGGGAAAAACCGGTATGAGCAGAGCAACGCCCTCGAAGGTGCTCGCGAAAAATGTACTCATGATGAATCGTAGTACGCGGCGCGCCAAGCGGAGACGTGCGACCTTCTCGACGCCGTTTGATACGCTGCTCGCTTCCTGAAACGTCCCCACGCGCGATTCGCCTCGCCTCGCCTCGCTAACCTAGCTGGCAATCGACAATGCGACGCTTGGAACTTCGAGCGAGAAATTCAGAAGAGAGATCAATGCTCATGAAAACTCGCTAGAGGATTGCGAGCGCGTGGGAATGAGTCATTTAGATCTATTCAATTGTTTAGCATCGGAGAGGCAAATGATGTCGAGATCGATGAGTAGTAACTTAACAAAAGAGAGATATCGGTGATGGGTCGTACATTGGATGAGTTAATATTTTATAGATGATTGATGTAGGTTTTGAAAGGTAGAGGACGTTAGAACTGATTCTTTTTCATATTCAGCAGCTTTAATCTAAATCATGTTTGAACGTGTTGGGTGTTGAATGGGAAGGAATAGTAATTTTGAATATCATCGGAAGGAGATAATAAAAATTGTTAATCTACGTTTGAACAGTTATGATTTGTGTAAAGACAAATTATACTTCATACACATACTCTTTGATAGTACAATAATAATATATAAGAGAAAAATTGCTGATAAATTTATAGGTTAGCTGCAATTATAGAATTATACCGTTTTAATGTTTCTGATGTAACTGAATTCTTTTTCTGTTTTGACAAATGGTGTAAGAGATTAGTTCTTTGAGTAGTTGCTTATTATGTGCTAGTTTTTTCCCATAAGTTACACAAGGATGGTAAATACTAGATCAAAGGAAATTACCATTCCAAATTGAGAATGTAGTTTTAAGAGTATCACAGACGACCTATGGGAGTTACACAATGTTATTGAGTAAATGGGTTGCATAATGATGCGATATAGTTGATGCAGAATGACCCATTGTAGTTGGCTTAGTTGGATGAAGAAATTATACAATGTAATGCCAATGCTTCGAAGAAGGTTCCAGAAGGTTAACCAACAGTTTGTTCGAATGTAATTATTGGTCAAAGAACATGAAGGAATCTAATGGCTTGGACGATTGAAATGTTTGTTTATATTTTTCATGATAGTCATGTCACTGTTCAAAATATATTTAGACTACTGTGAAATACCGCAAGCTGTTAAATGTTTAATTTGCACACGTTTTTGCAGGGTAAATTGGAATCGTACAGGGATTTGCAGAAAAATGGGAAAGAACTGAACCAGGACCAAAAGATAGCAGTGGCAAAATATGACGAAGTGCAACAAACTCTGGACATTACGCGCGAATTGTATAGGCAGATCGTGGGAATCGCAAATGATGCCGCCAAGCAGCAGAAGAAAATGGCTAGGAAAGAAGCGATGGAACGTATGCAGCAGGACATCGCCAAGGTAGATTCCACGTTAATACTGGATTTTTGGAAGTGATCTTCGTAAGTTTACAGGTTGCCATTATATCACACGATTTTTCTCCCAGGTTCGAGAGGTATTGCTGATCCAGAATACATTGTTGAACATGGGCGTGGAATCTGCACGTGAAGATTTTCTTGCCGGTGCAAATGGAGCAGCCAAACTAACGGACGACGATTTAAAGTATTTGGATGATCTCTACGTCGAAGTGACGTTGAAACGGGAACGAGCGGAAGGTGAACCGACTTCGTTGCAGCAAGCGCAAAAGATAGCGGAACACTTTGTGGCAATCGTCGATGGCAAACCAAGGGAAATCGTGGGCACCACGTATAATAAGATCAAGGAGATCATTGTCTCCATCAACCAGTGCGGATATTTTGACCAAGTTCACGAAGTGGAGGTACAAATCGAGGAAGTAAGTCTACTTAAAGTCGAAGCTAAATATATAAACAATCAGAACTCGTTTTAAACAAGCCCTACCTCATTTTTGCCACAGATGGTCGAAGCAGTAGCGGAGACACAACTATTGGAGGCTCCGGCGCAGGAACCGATTAACGAAGAATACAACAGCGGAGAGAGACACATTCCACCTCCCGAGGCCATGATTCCTATTCCCAGCTTCCCTGTGCAAGTGACACTGCCTGTGGTCTCCGGAGCAGCACCGGTCTCCGGACCCATCCCCGTCGTACCGCAGCCCATTCCTCCTCATCCGACCGCTCCGGTGGAAACATCTTACTACACGAGCGCTCCTAACTTCGTTCCGCAACCCCAAGCGCAGCAACAGCCACAACCTCCGCAACCGCAGCCTCAGCCTCAACAGCAGCAGCAGCAGCAGCAGCAGCCGCCGCCGCCGCCTCAACAGACGCAGCAACAGCAGCAGCCGCCCCAGCCTCCGAGGATCAACGACGTGATAGGAACCCCAAACTTCTTTTTCCTGCAGGAGTCGGAGCTGGACTCACCGGACATCGCTACCCAGCCTCCGATCGTGTCTCACATTCCTCCGACGGTGAACGCGCCCATCCCCACGCAGACCTTTACTAACCAGAACTTTGCCAATCCGGGGGTCGTGCCCCAGCAAGTGATGTACCAACACCAACAGCCTCCGCCGCCTCCGCCGCAAGATATGGCCCACATTCCTGGCTTTGCCAATCCAAATCCTCCGCCACCGATACCGATGCCACCCTCTCATCAGCAACCTGGAATGCCCTACAGTCCACAGCATCCTGCCGGCTTTCAGCAACGACCGCCGCCTCCTGCGCAGGCCGCTGCTCAGATGCAGCAGCAGCAGGTCCAAGGCCAGGGCTTCGACCAGACTTCTCGCACCCAGGAGCCTCAGTTGTCGAACACTGAGGTATAAGTTTAGGAGTGTAGAACTCTGAAGCGGTTGCGATTAAATTACATATAAGTTGCATGTTTTTATTTTTATTTTTTATTATTAAGGAAATGGCTTCATGAATGACGAGAAGCGTGCGAGAGTTTAATGTTCTGTTATATTTTTATTAGGTGGAGCACTCCCAGGAAAAAGGAGACCAGGGACATGAGGAGCCAGTGAGTGGAGAGGCGGAAATCGAGCGAACCTCTGAGTCGGCGGATTGGTGCGAAGTGACCGATCGCACCGGTAATCAGTCCGACTTGCAGCAGAACGTCCAGGAGTCCCATCAGCAACCGCAGCAGCAGCCCTCTCAGCAGGCCTGGGGCGAGCAGCAACGTGGAGGCTATAGGGGCAGGGGCGGTAGGCGGGGCAGCTCCAATGGCTATAACGGAAGGGGCAGGGGAGGAAATTATCAACAGAATGGTCGCGGCGGCGGTGGTCAAGGTGAGTTCCTCTTTCTTTTCTACAATTAAATTACAAAGTTCCGAGATGAAGGTAATGCGTATAAAAATCGTGAGTTTCAAGGTAGTGGCCTGAGTTTGACGATCATGGTTTGAGTTAGGTTTTTTCTTTTTCCTTTTCCGTAATGAGATTACTTATTATTCGACAGTTAGGTATTTGAAACTACAAGTTATTCACCGAGGTCTGTCCACTTGTAGGATCTTACTATCGAGCCGATGGCAATTACCAAAACGGATATCAGCCCAGGAGCTATAACAACGACGGTAACAGTGGTTACAACGGTGGCTTCAAGAGGGGTACTGGAGGCCCTAGGGGCGGGCCAAGGGGCGATCGCGGTACCGGTGAAAGGGGTGGCCGCGGCCAATTCCGCGGCGGCCAGAAAAGCGGAAATCGTGGCGGATACGCACCGCGCGGCAAGCCGCAGCAAGCCCAGCAGCAACAATAGAAGCCGTCCATCCAAGGGGCGCAACGAAACAGTGGCATCGCGTTGGAACAAGGCTCCCTGCGATCCTGGTTCGATTGACCGCTTAACGGAGTTCGATTTTATCCTTGGAGGCTTTCAAGGTCTGGGAGAAATCCTGACAAAGCGACTCGCGAGAACATCTTCGGCGAGCGTTTAGTTAATGACGTTAGCAAGAGGGGCACATGGCGCCCAAGTACTGCAATTGTTAAAAACACAGCCTCGTGTGGCTAATGGCGTCGACGGGCGTGGCCATGGCAATAATGCACGCCATATGTAACGTTACCTCACGGTCAGCATCAGTGTGAGGGTCGACGTATTATGCAATTGCCGTGATTCAAATGCTACGTTTTAACTCGCCAGGGATGCTACGCGGCACGAACCCTGGTGGTCATTTTCCGTACTACTTGACGCGCGCGCTCGGTTGTAACTCGGCAGGACTCAGGTATGGAATAGGTTTGCTTCCTACTTATCACTCGTTGGTTCAACGCGAGGACACTGGCGGACATGAATGTTTTTCCTGAATTTATGACACCGATAGTGTACGATGGCTTTCATGTCCACCGGTGCACTCGTAGACTGCGATATCGTCAGGGATGTCAAATTATCGAGAAAGGGTCTCAGGATAAGAAAAAGGAGGCTGTATTAGCGAGTAGCGAGTAAGACTTCATTGGCGGCCTTTGTCGTTCCTTTATTTCCGAGTTTCCTCGGTTCTCCGTGGGTTCGTACCGAAAGTATCCCCGGAGATGTCCGTCGATGTCGCTTAGTTTTTAGGATTTTAACATCCCTTAAGTGGTCCGTTGGATCCGGAGAGATCGGGCATTTTAACTCGATGTTCCACAGTTAGAGATGTAGGAGAACAGCGCACTCATCGTTGAAATCAATACAAAACTGGGGGCGACAGTATGTTAATATCGTTAACCTACGGTGAGATAAAGAGCGAGTCGGGGGAAGAGTAAAAACGGACGAAGACGGATCAGCTAAATTCAAAAAACGTCAAACCCACCATGTAAGTATTAATTGTGTTGTGACAGAAGGCAGTTTTCACTGGGCAACAACAGCTGATCGACAAAGATTAGGGAGGGAGGGAGGGGGAAAGAGAAGGAGAGAATGTGTGTGTGTGTGAAAGAGAGTGAGAGACAGAACGAGAGAAAGAACAATAATTTTACTATAAAGAAACCCCCCCAAAAGATGAGACCGAGAGAGATAACGATACCGCACACTCGTAGGCGGTCTCGCGCGGATAACGCGACACACACGGAAACACATACACAAGCGTATATTTAATAAAGTATATCGATTTAAGGTGGTCAATAAGAGCATAGGGCGACTAAAAGTGCGACCGTCTCTGTCTCGCGGCGCACTCGTACCGAAAGACTTTTCAAGATGTCCGGGCGAGCTCGCGGAGGCGACCAAAAAAATGGAAAAAAAAAAGGAAAAAGGCGGAAACGCGATTCGCCTCGGTGGCCGCCCCGGCGTCTCCACCTTTGACTTTTTTTACCAGTAGACGTTCGAATCATCGAAACGAGCGATTTAAGAAAGAGCGCGATCGAAAAAACGGCGAGGAGAGTTTCCCGCCGGGGGAGTCGCGCCGCTCCTCTTGCCGCTTCTTTTTATAACTCTGCTTCGAGGGGAGCCTTTGCAGTCGTTCGAGACGACTCGACTCGGAAGGGACGGAGCGAGGAAGAGGAAACGAGGAAACACGACGGAGGATGAGAGAGAGAAAGAGACGGGCGTTGTCAAATTCACGAAGCAACCGTTTACCTGATTTCCGTTGATCGCAGAAAGGATAGGAAATATTATTTTTTAAACGAGGGCGGTCTAGCAGGAGTGTTAAAAAGGGGAGAAAGAAAGAGAGGGGTTTAATCGTGAGTACCGTGCGAAGCTTTAGTACGTAAGTTAAGTCGAATGTACAATTATATTGTGACTTAGCAGCCTGCGGGGGTGCGCACGACATGTGCCCGCGTTCACCGCTCGCCATCGCAACCCGGATTCTTCCGGGGGCAAGATGAAGATAAAAAAGAAAAAAAAAAGTACCGTATTGTATTTCGTTTGTACATTTGTGTTTAATCACCTCCTCCGTACAGTTTCGTTGAGCTATCCTATGAATACCTATGTATCTTCCAAATAAAGATCTAATTCAACCTGATGTTTGTCCTACTTCGTGGCCGTTTGGAGGGAGGTCGTGGCGCACGTTTTTGCGGAAAAGCAAAATAAATGCTTCGAATCCAGCCAGAAGACAAGTAAGACCATTTTCGGAGATTTCGTCCGACCGTGGACAATGACGTTCCTTTGATTGGATTAAATTGCAGGTCTTCTGCTACGAGTAGGATCGCACCATAGATGTTTTGGAAATGGAGGTTTGATTCTGCTTGAACGGTTTTTGGGGAGAAATATGCGCCGGGGTGAATTTCATTTCTAGCAGAAATGAGTTAGGAGATTGCTCACGGGCAGGTTCGCGCGATCGCATCCTGTGCTGCCCTTTGGTTTCGTACGTTAGCTTTCAACGTTTTTTGCCCCCAATGGCGGCGCAACGAATTTCTGGTAGGGGCTCACGCCCTCGCGATGGCGGTACCCTCTAGCAATCGCCGTTGGTGGCTCACGTACTCGTGATGGTAATACCATGCGGCAGTTGACGGTGGTGGCTTATCTACGCTTACCGACACTGCTCGCTTTTGATGGTAAGGGAAGAACACTCGTGACGCTCCATTTGACTTTATCTACTTATCCACTACTATTAAGTACATTGTTGCCTCGAAGTCGACGTGATGCGGAGCTTTGGGACACGCGCCGGTGTCGCGTACGGAACTCTAATGCAGCGAATCTGTGTGAGTGCGATCGCTCCTAGAAATCTTCGCGCGCCCCAACCAGTCAAGTGCCAAGCTACGGGTCGAGACGTTGAGTATGTGTGCGTTCGGCGCTACATTCGACGAGTACGCGTGAGAGTCGAATACTGCGAAAAATCCTCCCGAGGCTTACTTAACTGCGGATATAAGCCGAGTCATTTCGCGTCTGCTTTCTACATTTCCCTACAAGCGTTATCGAGCGTTTCTCGACAGTTTTCGAACGTTTTCGTGCGCTTCTTGATCATTTTCAGAGCATTTTCGAGCGTTATCGAGCGTTTTTCGAACGTTTTCAAGCATTCTCGATCATTTACAGAGCGGTTTCGAGCGCTTTCAAGCATTATAGAGCGTTTTTCGACCGTTTTTGAGCGTTTCTCGATCATTTTCAGAGCGGTATCGAGTGTTTTCGCGTGTTATCGAGCGTCATCGTGCGTTTCTCGAGTGTTTTCACGCGTTTCTAGAGCTTTTTCGAGCATTATCGAGCATTATCGAGCGTTCTTCGAGCGTTTTCGAGCGTTATCGATCGTTTTCGCGCGTTTTTCGTTTTCGAGCCTTATCGAAGGCTGCACAGTGCCGTTGAGTATTGTTAAGTGCAGTAGAGTGCCGGAGAGTGCCGGAGAGGGCCGGAGAGTGCCGGAGAGAGCCGGAGAGGGCCGGAGAGTGCTGAAGAGTGCCGGAAAGTGCCGGAGAGTGCCGGAGAGTGCCGGAGAGTGCCGAAGACTGCCGGAGAGTTGCCGGAGAGTGCCGGAGAGTTGCCGGAGAGTGCCGGGGAGTGCCGGAGAGTGCCGGAGAGTGCCGGGAAGTGCCGGAGAGTGGCGGAGAGTTGCCGCAAAGTGCCGGAGAGTGCCGGAGAGTGCCGGAGAGTGCCGAAGAGTGCCGGAGAGTTGCCGCAGAGTGC